TTTATTCTCGATAGCCATGTCGAATCGATGTGCACCTCCAAAGAACCCCTTTCAGAAACTCTACACAAAATACTTTATTAAATTTAATCTTATTAGTGAATGAAACGCAAACTATACTAAACGATAGACTATCTAAAAACACGGATGAACTTATTTGTGCGGCAAGAAGATGATATCAGAGGTAAATCAGTGGCAGCTGTGTTAAAACAAAAAATAAGGAGTAACTTGCAATAACAGAACCTGCAACTCATGCTCATTTTTTCTCGACTTTCTCGCACATTGAACTCTACAAACAAGCGTGTTTGAGAACCGCAGGAAAGTTGGCTTATGGCAAAGTTGCTTACATTATGCAGAGACTGCAGCACTTAATGGGTGTATTAAGTGCATTTTACCGCTCAATTCCTGGGGAAAACTTTCATTAAGTTTGCTCTGCGGCATTCATGTTGGCTTTGGCACGCATATGGCTTAAACTATGTGGGCAGCATTCAGGGCTTGCGGTGCAGAGTGGCTGTTTTCTATAAAAACAAGTCTTGTAAATGGCTGCCTGCGGCCGTTGAAGTTATACTTGTTCTCGATATTTTAAAATTATATAAATGCTATGTGCATTTTAATTAACTGGAATTTCAACAGTTTTACTTTTATAGTAATGTCGGCCATCCGAATTGCAACCAATTGTTTTGGTTATCAGACTTCATTAACAGAAACCCAATAATACTACGAAAACATTTCGGCTTAACTCTTGTATGTATATTTTACTACAAGTTAAACAAGAGAGAACGCTACAGTCGAGCAAGCCCGACAGTGTAATACCCTGTACCCATGTAAACTTCCGTAACTGAGTTATAAGCAGTTATAAGAGTTATAGCAGCAGCAAAAAGAGGAAGAAGAAGAGCGAACTTGTTGCTGCAGTTTGGGGGGGTTGTACTGGCGACAATTTGTTTTGCTAATAACTTTTCTTAATACAACAGTAGACAATTATATATAAATTATGTGTGCAAAGTTTGGTTTAGGTAGCATTTGAAATGTGGACGCTATTAACGAAATTCTGTAGCGGGGGAAGGGGGGGGAAATTCCAAAAAATAAAATAAACTCGTCCTTACTCGGACCTAGGAGAATCTGGATGCCAACTTTGGTTATTCTAGCTTTTATAGTTTCTGAGATTCTCGCGTTCATCCAGACGAACGGACAGACGGACAGACGGACGGACGGACGGACAGACGGACGGACATGTCTAGATCGATTTCTCTCGTCATGCTGATCAAGAATATATATACTTTATGGGGTCGGAGATGCTTCCTTCTGTATGTTACATACTTTGCACAAACCTAATATACCCTTTTTACCCTACGGGTACAGGGTATAAAAATTAAGCAAATTCAATACAATATCTAGTTGAGTATTACAGAATCAAATTGAATTTTAGACTAGTAAGTTTACCAAATTTTACTTAAAAAAACCTGTTGCTATCTCCAAGTATCTTTAAGGGAAATTTTACTGTTGTCGTACCGTGCTTCAAGCAGGCGCATGTAATATGAAAGCTTTTAGTTTAATGACAGTTTTCAGAAAAATTCTCGAATGTACTTATGTATAAAGTATGTGTGTTCATTTCGTTCTTAGGAAATGACTAAAATTTGTTTATTATTTTTTTTTTATTTTGTATAAGTTCTTAGAACTTGGGGCTGCTATTTTCATTAGCAGTTTGTGTGTAAACTTAGCTGAGCTGAATATGTGTGAGTTTGTGTGCGTGTGTGTGTGTTTGTGTTTGTCGCAGATACATTTAACTGTTGATGTGGCATTTGCGGTCGTCTGTGTGACTGTTTATTTGCACTAGCATCGACTAAAAATCACGTCAAGTGCACTTGTCTGCACACGAAGGCTATGAGCTATGTATGTGCGCCCCACAGGTTGCAGCACTTAGACAAAACCACTGCCGCACCGATGTATGTATGTAGGTGTGGTAATAAAATGTGAACTTGTTGACTGCTACCAGAGCCCTGGCGTCAGAGCCGGCAGTCGGGCCTGCAGCAGTCCCACTCAATTTAAGATCAAGTAGCTGCGCACATGCTACAAATTGCAGCACAATTCTGTTCATCTCTGAGTGTGTGGGTGTGGGTGTGGATGAAAGTTGTTGCCAACATGTTGTTTAAGTCTTAAACAGAATTTGTTGCATACTTTTATGGAGCGGCTTTAGGTGAGACCAGGCGAATGCGTCTTTTTGCAGTGCATACTTTAAGGCTGAAAACATTAAACAGGTATTAGTTGCTTTTCAGATTTCTTAGATTTTGGCTTGTTATGATCCCCGATAAATTGTACGCCAAAAAATATACAGCTTGAAAATTAAATGAACAATTCTGCTCCTGTCATTTAAAGTTGTTAACTTTAATATGAATATTTTTTTGTTTTAAGCACGCCTATTTAGCGATCTCCCTCAAAGTGGTATGGTAGTAAGTCATTTATTGAAATGCGTTTTCAATTGTTTCCAATCGATAGCAAATTATCAATTTTTGAAAAACAAAAATGGTTTTTGCAAGTAAAAGCTGAATTTCATTTGTAACTCTTTAACTAATTTTACAATACAAATGTTTTCTTCTATTTTCAAATTTGCTTTGCACAAACACAACTATACTCTCTTCCATAACATACACACCCACAAACACACACATGGTACAAACTTTACCTACACTACTATGCTTTATACTGTCCCCCTAATTTCCATTAACTTTTCAACATTTCCTCTTTCTATCTCCCCACACGAATTGGTTTAAATATAATGCCACAACAACATGTTCGAATGCATTAACATTACTTAATTAACTATTATTTTTTATTTTAAACTTTTTTCCTTCCACATACAAAATACAAAAATTCGCATTTCGACAAATGTGTAAATTTGTGTGCAAACACATTTATGTGCACTTCTTGTTTGTGTGTAATCAACCAATTTTGCTGTTGAAATTGCTCACAAATGATATCCCAACGACTTTAAATGCATTTATACCAAACATGTCTATAAAAATCATGCCATTTTCCATCACGGCACACCAACAATGACAACAATAAACACTACAATGACATGCACTTGCAAATTTGTTGTGTCACGCGACAAAAATAAAAAACCAAAACCAACGTGTCAAATACCAACAACAAATATTTTTGACAATTTCATAAAATATTAAACACACACTAAATCAACAAAAACGAAAATGTACATTAAAGATACCATGGGGACTGAAAAAAATCTGTTGGGGTCTGATAAATATTACTGTGCCCAGGGTAAGCTATCAACATTAAGCTTTAATTTGTCAATCATTTAATTGTTTTATGTTGTTCAACTTGTTATGGTTTCATTTTGTATATTTAAGCATATATATGTATGTTTTTAATTCATTTATCTGTTTGTTATGCATATACATATATGTATGTTATGTTTGTGTTTATATCTGTTATTTTTTAAGCTTTTCAAATTGATTTAATTGGTTTGGTTATGATTAAGCATCGTTCACAAAAAGTGTAAATTTCATAATTAATCATTTTTTTTGCTAACCTAACCATTACTGTATGCGGCCCAAAAATTCCAAAAATATTATACTATATATCCTGTACAATAACTCTGGAATATGTGCTAGCTCAGCTGAAATAGTAAAATGGTAATACCAGTTGTATTTGTAAACTTTGCATCTGTACATATGTATTAGAGTGTAAATGTAATATCATATATTAGAATGCTTTCCCTCTTTAAGAACCTTATATAATTGTGATCAAATAAGAAACTACAGTGTTTCTTTGATTAATTGGCAGATAGATGATAGGCCGATGATTTGTGGATTTGTCTGGCACCGTTTTCTTTGACGTAAAGATAAATTGTATTAAAGAGAAAGAACATTAAGTATAAAAATTAATAGAACAGCACTGCAGAATCATGGCGTCTTAATTTATTCCAATGAACGATTTTTCCACTCCATCTCATTAGCTTCATTATATAACTATGAAACGAAAACAATCACTGAACGGCGTTCGTAGTATATGTACGAGTAGTTTACTGATGATTTGTCACATTTAATTTGCACTTTTCGACAATAGCGTATAAATATTTACACGAGGAATAGTTGCAATTTATTAAATGTTGCCAATGAGCGCCCACAAAACCATTAGTTGATGAAATCGATTGTAACCGTCCACACTTTGTATACCTTGCGATTTGTAAAATAAAAACTACTTGTTGAACTTTAATAATAAATAAGGCGCATCGTTGGGTTGCTATTGGTTAGAGTTTAAAACCTGTTCAAATAAACTCAGTGCACTCATGAAACTTTCGTAATTTCACTAAATAACCTTTGCATAGGCTTTGGCCAGCGACAAATTTACGCCAAGGGCACTTAGCCGTGTACTATATATATTTATACGTATGTGTGTGTGTGTGTGAGGATGTTGCAGAAGCAGGTTGCATGACAACCCTGACACGCAAACCTAATTGATTTGTTGCAACCCAATGCGCCGCAGATAGTTAGCCAACCGGCCAGCTGCTACTCCATCCAGCAACAAAGGCTTGGTAGGCACAGTGTGACAAAAACGCTTTGGATTTACATATGTGATGCTCTATTTATGGCTTATCTAATTTGAGCGCAGTTGGGCAATTGACGAGAGAATAAAAATAAGAGGAAAATGCTTTGCCTAATGCAGCTAGTTTAGTATTAATCACCACATGCTGGCGACAAACGCACACACTCTCTAGAACCTCTCGGGGTACACATTGTAAATAACTCGGTTTTTATCAGGAGACAACCACAGCATGGTGAGGGTGAGCCGCGATGCAACCACAGCCACTAACCCAGCTATTGCCAACGTGCCAGCATCAGGTGCGTATCAGTTGAGATTCTGTCGTCGCGCCGCAAGCACAAGCAATGCGAAGCTTATCCGCCCAACCGCCCATGATTTGAATCGATCTGAATCCGTGACATACCGAAGTGCTCATTTGCGCCATGAACAAGCTTGTATAAGATGCTGACTGTAGCCTCAAAGCCCACACAACTGCCGGGTACAGCTAATTAGCGTTGTTTTAAAAGTCAACCTGATAAACCAACATGGTTGTAATCGATTCGCCACTCCCGGCGCAAAAATATCTCCGTCGCATCTCCAAAGATTTCTCAACTGTACGTCGCTATAGCAACACCCCAGCTGCATCCACACTCTCTGTTACTTCCGCATCGGCCACGTTCCTTGCAGCTGAGGCGGATGCACAGTTGCCGTCGCAGCTTCAGGTGCCCAGTTCGCCGCGCGGGATTCGCAAGCGGCAGCGACCTCGTAAACGTTCCTCGGTCTCGTCGACGCTAACTAAAGTTTTAATACTCAATGTGCGTGATTTGTTGAAGGCGCATGCCAGCCCTGAGCCATCGAATGAGGTACACACCAACATACACCACCCCGATCTACCCCATCATACTCATCAGCCCCTTATCCCTACTGTCGGCATGTTGTTATTGTTCCAATTACTTGGCAATCGGGCGTGTTTGCTTTACAAACTGTTGCGTCTACGTTCAGACTCATCGTACGTAAACCTATGTACATACTCGTACATAGGACCTACTTCTGAGCCAGATTGCTTTCGGTTTCTTCTTGTCGACTTGCTCAGTTAGTTCGTGCTTAAAACTTTCTACACTGTCTTAAATTCCTATAACTTTGAAAGCGCATAGTGAGGCCACAGGCAGCGTTAATACTGAAGTTACATTTGTAGTTTGTGTTTATGTTGAGCCCAAAGTTTGATTTGATTTTCACTTTTTTCCCGTTTTTCATAGTGCCGTGTTCTGCAAACTATCAAATCTGATACATTCCTTTTTTAATTTGTTGATTGCGTTTGTAGTAAACTTTAAACTTTTGTTATTGAGCAGCTTCAAGGAAAGGCAAATATCAGAAGAAATTTCTAATAGCTCTTGCTTCAACTTAATTTTATTTTTGACACTTTTCTGAAACTAACGGATGTTAGTCTTCAATATTTTTATTCGAAACTAGGTTATATTCCGTATAATAAATTGGCAAGCTCTTTAAATTAAATTGCTTACTTTTTGCCACATTTAAGGATTCATTTCGAGCAAAAAAAAATTACAATCATGACCGTAGTTCTGTGCATTTAAAATTTCAATAAACAATTCAAACAATTGGTGCTGGACATGATCATTATTATTAGCCAATTAAATTAAAATTGGACCTTAGAAATATTTATTTGCATTCTGTACCGCATAATTTAGTAATACATATAAAAAGCTTGTTTCGATAGGTCTAAGAATATTGTTCACAATTGAGCTTAAACGTGTGTCAGAGCATGTATATATTCATGAAGAATAGCTGTTTTTTGCAATTAAAAGGATGTAACTGATAGAAAAAGGAACGCATACACTACTCTAAAACTCTGCGAATCTATAAGGACCGATATGTGCTAAAGATAATGAGATGATTATGTTGTGCAATGCTGTATGGTTTCAAATATGAAATGGAATGAACCGACCGGAAAACCACAAATGAAACGACGCAGTCAAATATAACATTTTAGTTATTTATATGATGTATATATTTATATTCAATCATAAAATTAAATGAATGCATCTATCTCATATTAATTACATTTGTGAACGTTATCATTTAAAAAATGTGTTTCCAATCAAATCTTGTAATATAATGTATGTTAATTGTTGTTTTTCATCAATTAATGTTTTTATTATTTTTTGTTGCTTTTTTCGTTATTGTAGCTTGTTATTTGGTTTCCTTATTAATGGATTTTATGTTTTTTGATATTTATTCAATTATCATTTTGTACCAAAATGAAAAATAATATTTCATGCTCCTATTCGATTTATTCTTTATGAACGTTGTATAGCTGTTGTGTAGACTTCTCACTGCGTAACCAAAGGTTTCTTTATTGAAGCACTCACCAATAACCTAAAAAAAAAACCAGAAAATTAAATCAAAATACTTCATAAATTGTAAAAAGCACTTTGTCTGTTGCAATGACAACAACTCTATACGTAGAACATTGCGTAAAAAGACAATAAATAAATAAATTTCCCCAAAATCACGCATCTTCTTTTCTATGTACTTCAATATTTCTCTGCGACTTTGCTCTATTTTTGTTCGCTCTGTACAGATTTAATTTTCAGTTATTTTACTTGAAGGTATTTTACCATTTTGATGTATCAAAGTGTACAAACTAAGATGTAATAATAAGATTCAATTCATTGAAGTTCATCCTAATAAAATGCAAGACTAATATGCCTCTCTTTCTCTTTTATTGCCATTATGAAACTCTCCTCTTTGTATGCCCAATCCTAGCATCAGCCGCGCAGTTGGATTGAGACAAATTTCCAGAAACGTGAATGCATCAAGTTCATACCATGCCCAAAGGACGACACAAAGTAAGTATAATACATATACACAAATGATATCCTAATCAGATATCCCATAGTGGGTGAGTAGGAAAAGCAAGACACATACTCCTAGCTATCATTATGCCGATAATTCCAAGCATATGGCAATACGTCAATCCGACTTAAATTTTGTCTATTCATTGGCTTATGATATATTACATTATTAAATGATATATACTATGAATTTGTTTAAACGTGATTGCTCATATGGCATAGGTTTCCGGTTGATATTGTACTAAAATTTAAAAAAAAAAATTAAAATAGGTTTTACGAAAAAATAAATAAATTTGAAAAAAATCAATACTAAAAAAAAAATTGGAATGGAAAGTGACTTAGAGCCTGACTTAGTACCTGATTCAAGATTATATTTACTATATTTCAATAATTTCAAACTTATTCTCCCTTTTTTATCGCATTTGACGGAATTACACAACGACATAATGATTAATAATGAATATATGCAACAGGAATTTCAGGCACCATTGATTGATTTGGAAAAATTAGATTAAAATGTTCTTTTTAGGATAAATCACAAGCTACACACCCTTCTTTGTTTCTATGGCTCTAATAGTCTCCTTCCTGTTTGCTTTTATAATGACATAGACAGGCAGAAAAACAGTCGAGCAGACTTGTGTCATTTACTTTACATTGATAACACAGATGCATCTGATAACTGTCATATCTTTTTTTTATCCATTTGACATTTAATTTCCTCGTGTCAAGTTCAAGTCTTAGAGCATAAAATTTCACTATTCAAACAATTACGAGCAACTATCCAAAACATTTTTTGAAAATTGGGACCTATGTTTGGTGTCGAAACAATTATCCTAGATTTGATGACTGTTTTCTGTCCGTGAACCGTCCTGTGCACTATCCGTGTACTTTATAGTAATTAAACTTGATTGCAAAATTAAGCAACTAAAGTGCATTTGATTAATGCTGTCTGGCAGCCAGGGTGAGGCGCACAAATTTCCAAGTCAAATGTTGGCCCTTTTGGAACTTTAAGTAAATTTGACCCAATTTCGCATATCAAAACACGTCTGGCTTATAAGCTATGGACAAGTAATGCTATATACTATATGTTTGTACTTAGGCGCAGTCTAAGTATTTGCCCTAGTTCCCCAATCTCTCCGGGCTGTTTGCGCTGTATTTAGTTTCATTTTGGGGTGTTGGTGTTGGCATTTTATTGTTTATTATTATGACGGGTTGTTGTTGCCAGTCGTCTTGCTTTTGCTATTATTCCAAAGCGCTCCTGCTGCCTGACGCAGCGAGCTTGCTCTATTGAGATAAATGCGTTATAAACTTGGCTGTCGGTCGCGGGTTAGTTGTTGGGTGAAAGTTTTCAGCTGCAAGCGCTCATACGCTTTATGATTGTTTATGATTTCTATTTTATATAGTATATATATCTGTTTGTTGTACAATATATACGTACAATATTTTTTATCAGTGTTTTGCTAAAAAAATATTTGCTCTTTGTTACCAGTCGTTTGTTATACTATATTATACGAGTTTGTTGGCATCTTATTTTTTTGAGTGGCATTGCAGCAGAACTTTGTGGTTGGAGAGCTTACAAATGCGTAGTAAATAAGAAAAAATCATCATTTTGCATGATGGCGTACAAAAAATTGTACCGTTTTTCTACGATATAGTGAATTGTTTGTCAACCTGAATTATTAACAATAATTAAGCTGACAGTACAGAAATTTCAAATTTGTACGCGAAGGGTGGATGAAGAAAAAATACAAGCTGCGGAAAAGAAAACACCAGCCAACATAAACAAACAAAGCTCACAAAGAAAAACACCACACTAGTGATGTGCTTTGCCTTTCCGTTCGATGATTATTTGTTGCAAATATATTTTAGTGTTTGTCAAATTTAATTAAAATGTCAGTCCACGGAAAGAAGTTTTTCTATATGTTTGAAAGTGATTTCGAAGTAATTTCGAACTAATTTCGAAAGTTTTGTCAATTGCAGTCATGAACAGCATACGTTTGGGCCTGGCATATCGATTTTGCTGTCTTGCCGTGAAAAACTTATTCATTTCCAACAGACAGAGATGTTCCGTACAAGGTCTTTTGGCCAAAAGCTCAGCTATTCATTCTCAGCGATCCTACAGTTCTCACTTAATCTATATGTATGCTAAGATGATGCTAAGATGATGTTGGCGCAATCAGAAAAGAGGTTCATTTAAATCATTCTAACCCAATTGTATGAACCAGTTCGTTGCTTATTTCAAGCTGGCACATCACTTGCGCTGAGCCAGGACAGCCGTGCTTCCTGCCATTTTGTTGACAAAATGAATTGCTTTATTAACACATACATATACATTAATTTATACTCGCCTACGTATACATACAAGTATGTAGCATCCGTAATGGGGCTTAGGATTAAAACATTAGCGCTGAACACACGTGTTGCATGTTGCATAAAAATGTGAGATTAATTTTATTCGTATTTGACAAGAACTCAACTGATTTATTCATTAAGAAATTGTGCGAGGGCTGAGCACAATTCGTTGATGAATGCACACGGGCGCTGGTCTGAGATGACTGTAATTGAAATTTATTATTTAGCAGAGGCAAAAACTTTTGAACAGCTGACAAGAGCGGCATGCACACACACACACACACAGCTACACACATATGGACATACATAAGAAAGGGCACTGCGGAACTGCGAAGCTCTTGTATCAGGGCAAGAAGAATGGCGCAGAGAGCTCGCGGCACATCCTCGTCGCCCCTCAGACAGGATGCCTATCGGGAGTCTAGGCGATCTCTGAAAAGGGCGATAGCAGCAAGCAAGAGGCGATGCTTTTTCGAGATGTGCGACTCAGCCGAGCACGACCCCTGGGGGAAAGCATATAAGCTCATTGTGAAGCGAATCTACGCTGGCGGACGCAATGCTCCCATGGATGCTGAGAAACTCTCACGAATCGTTAATACCCTATTCCCCTCGAGACCCGAGTCGCCTGCGATGATCCCTACCAGAAACGAGTTATCGCCTGCCTTAGGCGACGTCACCACTGAGGAAGTGCTGCTGGCTGCTCGTAGCTTGCAGCTCAACAAAGCGCCGGGCCCGGATTCTATACCGAACCGCGCACTCAAACTGGCACTTTGTATGCACCCTGGGGCGTTCGCTACTCTGTTCGGAAGGTGTATCAGGGAAGGCATATTCCCTGCCTGCTGGAAGGTGCAGAACCTGGTTCTACTGCCGAAACCGGGAAAACCACTCGAAGACCCCTCATCCTACAGGCCGATTTGTCTCCTGGACTCGATCGGTAAGGTGCTGGAGAGACTGCTCTGCTCGAGGCTCGAAACAGCAATCGGTCTATCCCCCAATCAGTACGGGTTCCGGAAATCGAGGTCCACCATAGACGCGATCAGTAGAGTGGTGGATCTTGCGTCGAAGGCAATATCAGGTAGCAGATGGAAGGGAGGTGCCAAAGAATACTGCCTGGTGGTGACCCTCGACGTCAAAAATGCATTCAACTCGGCAGACTGGGGATGCATTCTCAACGCACTGGTGGATCAAGGCGTACCCACGTGCCTGGTGCGCTCCATTAGAAGCTACCTTAGCGATCGGATACTTAGGTTTCACACATTGTCTGGCACCAAATCCCTCAATGTTGTTGCTGGCGTCCCCCAAGGGTCGGTCCTAGGGCCGCTGCTCTGGAACGTCATGTACGACGGCATTCTCCGCCTCCAACTCCCACCCGGTACTGAGCTAGTGGGGTACGCAGATGACGTCGCAATTGTAGGCGTTGCGAAGGATATCAAAACCGTGGAAGACGCGTGCAACCGCTGCATCCGGTCGATCATTGACTGGCTGAACACCGTGGGCCTGGAACTAGCGGCGGGCAAAACAGAGGCAGTGCTAATCAGCAGCCGCAAGGCGGTAGAGCAAGCGCACATATCAATTGACGGTACTCTCGTGCGGTCCAAACGTTCAATTAACTACCTTGGGGTTAGATTGGATACGAGATTGTGCTTTCGTGAGCATCTGGAGCAGACGAATAATAAAGCTGCAGAGGCCACACGGGCGCTAGCCCGAATTATGGCCAACACTAGGGGCCCAAAGCAAGGTCGGAGGTTATTGCTTATGAGCGTAACCAAATCAATAATGCTGTACGCGGCACCGATATGGGCTGCCGCGGTGAACAAGAGGAGCTACATCCGCGACCTCGCTGCTACATACCGTCTTGGCGCTCTCCGTGTCTGTAGTGGATTCAGGACGGTTTCTGACGATGCCGTACTGGTGATCTCGGGGATGGCACCTATCGACCTCCTCGTCCTGGAGGCGAACTACCTTCACAGTTTTGCTGCCGGGCGGCCTCGAAGGGACGCGCGGGCGGCGGCTAGACGTACGACGGTAAGCAAGTGGCAAGAGCGATGGAATGCCTCGTCAAAAGGCAGGTGGACCCACACGCTAATAACTAACGTAGCATCGTGGATCGGCAGAACACATGGCAAGGTCGACTTCCACCTGACCCAACTTCTGAGCGGCCACGGTTGCTTCAGAAGTTATCTTCATAGATTTGGGCACGACTCCAGTGCGGAATGCCCGGCCTGCAGAGGGATACCGGAAGATGCTAACCACGTAGCCTTCCATTGCCCAAGGTTTGGGGCGGACAGAAGGAGACTGGAGGCGACAACCGGATCACCCCCAACGGCGTCGAACTTTGTGGCCAACATGCTCGCTAACGAAGAGTCGTGGGCTGCGAGCGCAAACTTTGCGGCCTCCGTTATGGGCAAGCTCAGGAAACAGGAGCGGGACAGGAGCGCGATATAAGCGGGTTGATCGGCCGGGCGAAGCAATGCCTAACGGCCGTACCGCCTGGACTTTGACCTGCGTATATCATTATTATTATTACTTTTACTTTTATTATTATTATTATTACTCCTATTGTTATTTCTATCTATTCTATATTGTTATTTTTCCACTCTAAAAATAAAGAATACAAAAAAAAAAAAAAAAAAACATAAGAAAGGGCAGACAGTCAGACAGACAGACAGACAGACAAGCAAACAAACAAACTGGCGAGGGCACGTTTAGCATTCGTATTCCCTCGATGTCTGGAGGGCGAATGAGGGGGACTGCGCACAAGCTTCCACCATATTTTGACATATTCGGTGAACATACGCACAAACAACAAGCAACAAGGAATAAACAGAAAGCGCCAGAGTAGCGGCATCATCGTCACCATCATCTGCCGACAACACAAAAGCGCACATGCATAAATAACGGTTTATATTACACGTGGGCACAACAAAATGTCGGTTTGCATTGGTGTCACTCGCTTGTCTATAAGAGTGTGCGTGTTTCCAACTCCCATTTACATTGCGAAATTTTGACAATAACTTAGTTGTGGATAGTCACCATGTTGCCTGAAAGGCCACGCAGCAGCAATTTACATACTCGTATATACAGCTTTTAATTTGTCCGTAACTGCAGAGCACAGCTGTCCAATTGATTAGCCATTATGCACTAAGCACAAAGGGTAAGCAACAAATAATTGAAGTTGGAATTAAGCATGCAAACCAGTTTGAAGATCCGCTCAGCGGATATTCAAGTGTGACTTGGGGGCTGTGTGCGTAAGCTTCCTTCACTGTTGACCTATTATTGTATGAAGGCACTCCTCATACTGTAGAACAATATTTTCACAAAAATAATAGGCTGGCAGTGGGGTGGGGGTCCATAAATACATATATTCAGCTTAGGTATTTTATACTGAAGAAGAGTACATACTCGTATATAATCTAATCTAATCTACACTATTATACTATTTTAGGCTCTGGTTACTGGGTATGAAAACTGAAAACATTGCTTATAAGTATTAACAATTTTCGCCCTATATTTTTAATTGCGAATTGTACCATTTTTATTTTTCCGAAATAATAACTTGCTCAGGTTACTTTAGTTTTTGTCCATTGAGGGCCAATAAGACAGGCTGATTTTCATGTTTTGAAGATAGAAAGCCCAAAGCAACGAAGATACGTCCTTTGAAGGACAGGCATGGTGAAAAGATGGCACATTTCGGAAATTTTTTGGCAGAAAAATGATGGGCCAGATGTGAGAACCAAAGGCAAAGTATTTGCCGTACTGCCAACTCTGCCAACCTTTGGTTGTCAAAAGGTTGCATTCCGAAAATATGAAATATTCCCTGACAGCCAGAGTACGATTCGGCTAAAGAGAAAATGACATTTGGCTCTCAGCTTTTGCCTTTTGCTTTTGCTTCTCGGAATGCGTCCAACTGCAACACGAGCCCAAAATACGAGCTAGCTAAAGTATTCTAGCCAACATTTGGCTGTCGTTGCCTGTCTTTCTGTCCTTCTCCCTCAGCTTTAAGCCATGTATTTGCAAGGGCTTTCTGACATTCGAAGTGCAATAATCTCTGCATGACCATCATGAATGTCTATTGTCCATTACCGGGCAGGCTTCTTCTGAGTGGAAAGATTCCATGCACTGTACTGTGGTGCCTGACGTAATTGTCGAACCGTTAGATGGTTCTGCCACAAATATAACCCTATTGATGGAGGTATTCATTTCTATAGAGTAATAATATAATATAAATCAATTTCTGTGCTGCAACTGAAATTATTGGTGTACGTTTTAGGAGCACTGCTCATGAAGTACTGCCTTGAATACTCAAATTATGACATCTTCGGACGCTCTAAGTAGTCGAAAGGATAATTAACGCAATTACACAATCTACCGATTTATTTATTAAATTGTGTGTTGTTTGTAATTTAAAAGAAGAAACAAACAGTGGCTCGTAAAAATAGTACACTTTATATAAAAACCGTGAAACAATTTTTGTCACAATTGCCAATTTTATTTGCACTGCCATTTCTGTAATCAATTAATTTGTTCAGCTGTAACCGAACGTTCAATCAAATTATATTTTTTTCATTTGTACAGATGCTGCTGCGGCCAGGCACAGGTCACCCATCAGACTATTCCAGGCATCGAGAGCGGCTCGCCGGGCGACAACTGGCTGCCAACGAAGCACACACGTCCCCAGCCCACCGACGCCTATGGCACTATTGAGTTTCAGGGTGGAGCCCATCCCACTAAGGCGCAAGTACGTTACTCGATGATGCAGAGAGCAATGTCGTAGTTTTTAAATTTAAGCGACAGTCGGGTCCCCGTTCCGCAAAACTCACAACTGTCTCCAGTGCTGGTACCGAATTACTTACCAAGTGACCGGGCCACGTGTGCGTGCCATCAACATTTATTAGGCAGACAGCCCACATCTTTAAAGTCAATTTTGCTTAGTGTGCTTGTGTAACTGATGATGATGCCATTCAATCATTCACTCACTCACTCACTCACTCACTGATTCGCTCTTTTGACTTTGTTGTAGTATGTGCGTCTGTCATTCGACACGAGGCCTGAACTGTTGGTGCAGCTGTTCACAAAGGAATGGAATCTGGAATTGCCAAAACTTTTGATAACCGTGCAAGGCGGCAAGGCCAACTTTGATTTGCAGGCCAAGCTGAAAAAGGTAAGCACCCGCCCACATGCGGGCATACAAAAACTTTGCGCAAACAACTTCAGTTTGCGGCTCTGCAAGTGTCGTGCTTCACACGCCGCGGCAAGTAGTGGAGTGGCTGAAGATAATCATGATTCTGCTGCCTGCTTCTCTCAACCTGTCTACCACATGATTTTCCGACTTTTCCAAATGCGGCCGAACTAATCATTGTATTACACTTGCAGGAGATACGCAAGGGATTATTGAAAGCGGCAAAAACCACAGGTGCTTGGATATTCACGGGCGGAACGAACACCGGTGAGTGCTTCTATTTTCTCATGTAAATACGCATAAAATATGTATATATTGTATATATAAGATAGCAACACTTTGCAAGAAAGGTCAGAGACAATGCCATTGAAGTTACGCTACTCCCTAATAAAGGTCAGCGGTCAACCACAGACCAAATAAGTCACACATCAGCCAAAAATCACTCTGCTATGATGTTTGCCATTTTTTTTAAAGCTTTCATTCCATTTTATTTTGTTGATATTTTTCTTACGTTTATTGTGGCTACGTTGTTATTTAACTTTTCGCCACGCTGTGCCTTCAATTAAGTTGAAAATATAAAAAAATAAATTACAAAAAAAAAAACAACAAAAAAAACTCAAGTTATTTACTTGGCCATTGTTGTCTACTTTCAGGCGTCACCAAACAAGTGGGCGATGCTCTGCTTCTCGAGGGCCAGCAACGCACCGGACGCGTCGTCAGTATTGGCATTGCGCCCTGGGGCATTGTCGAGCGCAATCACGAGCTCTTGGGCCACAACCGTGAAGTGCCCTGCCACAGTATTAGTTCACCAAGGTGGGTCACGCACAAAAATTGGCGTTATAAACTGTGTACTCCTCGTATACGTATATGGAATTAGCTTGCTCTTTAATGTGGGTGTTTTGAGGAATTTAGCCAAGCAGTCCGCATACATACATATATGAATAGGCACATGTGTAGGAGAACTCATACGAAAGAACGCAATAAGTGCGGCCTTCTTGCATATTTCATGAAGAATGTAACCACATGGAGTTATCGACAAGAAACCTACGAGTATCTGTGCAACAAAGCAATCATACCATGGTTCATTAAATATTAACCAACTTCTTCATATCACATACATAAGTGCGTGAGAATTTTCATTTACCATTTGCTAAATAATGAATGTCAACTGAAAATTACATACATATTTGTAAATAAGCAGTAGTTGAGACTCTAACTAGATATAATTGTTTTTTTAATTCCCATCAATTATAACAAATAATGGTAATGGTATTAAATGTTTGCAATTTCTTAAATATTTTGCAGATGCTTAATTGAATAAATATTGTCTTCAAGCTTAAACTGTTCGGGGGGTCGGGAAATTCATATATAAATGCTATGAATTGTATTTTGGCATACCATTTGTGAATATACATAAAGTTTTTTTTTTTTCTACAGGCGCATTTAAACGCAACTCTTTTATCCTTCGGGACCACAGGCTGTTTGTTTTCGAAAATCAATTTGCATACTGTTTAATGTTTATCAATTTATATGTACTCGTATTTGATTTTTTGAAGGGTACATTTTAATATTCAACAGTTCTACATAATTTGGTTCGCATTATAACATGAAATTCTATTGAATTGTGTTTGGAAAATGGAAAGATTTTCGATTTCTTGACACAGAGACCAGTGTACGGGAATACTTAACAAACATCTACTATGCATGAAACGACAAGCTGATTGTTTTCCCAAAGCGACTTGGGTATTTGTTTTAGATCAGTTTCTTTCATTTGTTGTTGTTATTATTTCAGGTCGAAATTGGCTGTCCTGAACAATCGACACGCATATTTCTTGCTGGTTGACAATGGCACACAGGCCAAGTACGGCGCTGAATTGATTCTGCGGCGCAAACTGGAGAAATTCATTTCGAATTTAAAGCTACATCCATGTAAGTACACGAAATAAGCGAATTAAATGAACAGCAAAGTGCAGCATCGCAAATCAAAGAAACAACCGAGGAACAAATAAACGCAGTGCGATGCATGACCGAATCGTCGAATTACAGTCAAATAGTAGTCGAAAAAAGCCGAGCAGGTGTTACCAAAAGGACGAATCGGCAGTGGATGACTGAATGCGAACAGTGACAAAGGCAATCATTCAAGAGGATTTTCATTTCGAGCAGCAGCTTGTCAGAGACTGATGTGCGGCGCACCTGACAACTTGCAGTCTCCACACTGCCCTGCTCTCTGCAAGTGTGCAATTTTCTTTTCACACACATACGAGTACACACACACACACACACACACACTTATGCAGACTTAGACCCCAACAATTGTGCACATTGGCTTATGCACTTGTTTTCGACGGGCTTGTCTGCAATCAGTTTGCGGTTGGCAAGGAAATGCATTTCCCTAACCACAATAACAGGTGGAAATATCATTTGTGTTTTTCTTACAAAAATGTCGTTCCCACAGCTGCTCCGGGTTCCCATTACCCCGGATTCTTGTCGCTTTTATGCTCGCCTATTGAGAGGTTTATTATTATGGCCAGCGCATTGTGGCACGTTTGTAATGCATACTTGTTTGCGCCCCGAAGGGCACTTTCAATGGTTGCCCTGGCAATAATAGTATTATTATTATGATTAGTGTTATGCTCTTGTTAAAATACTCTACGGTGCATTAACTGGCAGGGCTGCCTTTCAACCATTAAGCATTAATTAATTTTTTTTAATTCTTTGATTTCTTAAATGTCGATATAGCTGCTTATGAGCCTGGGCATATTTAATAAAGCAATAGAATTTAAATAATTGAATCTGACTCCTGCAACAGCTTAACTTACAACATTGCCTCAAAATATTAAAATTAAAACAAATAATAACCTATAATTTAATTGTTTTTAGGAATTTTGATTTTTTTTTTTAACTCAAGCGTTAATTCCTTTGGTTTTTTTTAATTATCTTCCTTATCGAACATTTTGCTTTTATGACCTCGTGCGATTAGATATAATCTCGGATATAATTGTTTGTTAAAGGCAAATCGAAACAATTTAATAGCATTTCTGCGAAAAGGATATACAAGTATTATGAGAATTGTAAACAATATCCATGCGTATACCTTGCATTTTAGCACGACAAAGTTTAATTTAATTTGAGCAATGCCATATAAATTCGCATATAAAAAAGTATTTACTTGTGCCTGAATTGTTTCATTTTAATAACGCCTCGCCTCCGCTCTCTTTGCAGTTACACATTCCAGTACACCCGTCGTCTGCCTCGTTATCGAGGGCGGCACAAACACGATACGTGCGGTGCTCGAGTACGTGACGGATTCCCCGCCGGTGCCGGTCGTGGTGTGCGATGGATCCGGGCGTGCTGCCGATCTGCTCGCCTTTGTACACAAGTAAGTCGCCTTCAGTACAATAACGTTTAATATGATTTGTGCGAATGCATGTCCTGAAGGCAGCCTTCAGAGCTTTAATAGCGCCTGATGGCCTGGCAGCTAGGGGGTATAATTGGTCCATAGGAATACGAGTAGCGGTCGCTTAATGCCAACGCAATTAATGAGTAACCGCAGTTTGTGTAAATTTAATTAAAGACACGTTGCCCTGCAAACTGCCGTTTCTCATTGTCCCTCCTTTCCACTATTTTCCACTTCACGCTCTCGCTGGTTTCATTTGCAGAGCTTACGCTGCTTGTTGATATTGTTATTAGTGCGGCTGCTGCTCCTACTTTTCGTCAAGTTTTCCACACAACGACAAATTGTCCTGCGTACCCGTAAATATTCCAAAGTCAACTGCTGGCTTTGCCCGCATCAACTTCTTTGGGTACACGACACAGCGCGAATATTTAAATCTTGGGTACATCGTAGGCGACCTACACCTACACCAACACACACACACACACACACACACACACACACACACACACACACACACACACAGACAACACACGCACACGAGCACAATGTGCCGCACATAATTGCGCATACGCAATGTTACCCTTTCTGTGTCAATATTTTTGTTTTATTTTTCTAACTGTGTGGGTGGCGATGTGCTTGGCGTATACTTGTTGCCCTATTTGGTATGCTACATTAATTTTAATTAGACGCAGTAACAGCACTTCGGTTGGGTTTGCTCTGGGTCCCAACATTTTTCTCTTCCCCCCCCCCCCCCCTCTCCCCATATAGCCACTGCTTAAAAATTCCAAACTAACTTTATTTTTTCCCTTAATGTCTTGTTAAATTAAAGATACGCCTCTGATGGAGAAGAACAGCCAGTGCTCGAGTCCATGCGTGATTATCTTATTCCCACCATACAGAAGACATTCGAAGTTGGCATTGATCAAGCGGAAAAACTTTACCAGGAGCTCTTACAGTGCACACGAAACAAAAATTTGGTAAGATACAACACTTTTGTTTAAAATCCCTTTAATTTGGTCAGCAATAAAAATGCCTCGTAATCGCTCTTTACTATATTTCGTTGTAAGTCTTTCATGCAAATGACGCAGCAGTTTACGCATAAATGTACAACTTTTCATTAGCTTAAATTGAATAAAACGGGCAAAAGGTATAAGCAAGTATAGTATTGAAAATGCTCAGCGGCGTGTGATTAAGTTTTATTTATTAAAACAGAAGCTTTTACGTATACTTGCCGATTATGGTGGCTTTTTCTTGGCCAACTTCACAAATCAATTAATTATAAAAATGTACCTGGCATTGGTCATTTGTAAAGGCTTTCAAGCCGAGCACAAAGGGGTTTATGTCTTACCCTCTTTTTGAGGCAGCTAAAAAAGCTTGTAATAACTTAAACAACACTTTTCTGCCACATGCTCGAAACAGAGCTCAACTTCTCAATCACTTAAGACTGCCTCTTGAGTAGATTTAAATTTTGTAATTTATGCAGGCGCTAGATGCTGAAGAAGTTTGACAAATAATGATGCTACAAAAATTCAATTGAACGTGTAATGAATTTCAAATCACAGCAATATAAAGAGAGGGAAGACGTCCCGCAGACGTTTTTTAAGCTAACGAAATTCATTGTGTTGTGCGACATTTTGTCAAAGCTGCGTTTGGTTATTAAGATTTTAATTGGTTTTCCAGCAAGCATAGGCAATGAAGCCGTCTCTTCGCCGGGGTGTGGGGGGGAATGAAAATATACGAAAGGCCATGTCGTTCCTTCTTCTCTCCATCTTCCATATTGCGCATTGATTTCTTCACCGGCCCCCGCCTTCATTATTTCCAGATTACCGTCTTTCGTATACAAGAGAAACCCGAGGGGGAGGCCCAGGAGCTGGATCAAACCATTTTGACGGCACTCTTTAAGTCGCAGCATCTCAGTCCGCCAGAGCAGTTGAGTCTCGCGTTGACATGGAATCGTGTGGACATAGCACGCAGCGAGATATTTGTCTATGGGCAGGAATGGCCCAATGGTGAGTGCCTTTGCCTCTGTCTCCCTTTATGTGTGCGTGTGTGTGTATTGCGTGTGTGTGCGGGTCCCAAACAAAGTATGGATATTTAGTCTAATAGAAAAGATATACTGTACGTACTCGTATACACATTGATATGCATATTTATATTCTGCTTTTATTCGCCAAATCCCAAACCTAAGCAACACTCACATTATTTTCAATATTTGGCCTTCCTTTGTGTACTTACTGTGCCTTTGTATTTTAATTTTGTGGCATCCCTCCAGGCGCTCTGGATGAGGCCATGATGCAGGCACTCGAACACGATAGAATAGATTTTGTCAAATTACTTTTGGAAAATGGCGTTTCGATGAAGAAATTCCTAACAATACCCCGCCTCGAGGAGCTCTACAATACGAAGCATGGTCCAGCGAACACGTTGGGGTAAGTAGGGGGAGAATAACTAAATATTCCGTTAAAAAACAAAAATTTTAAAATTGCTTTCCAAACTTTTACCCAAAAGGGTGAAAGACTTAGTCTACGTCATTAAACATTTGTATATATGTAATACTCAAGGAAATACAAGTATAGTATTTGCCCTTATCTTCTACACTTATCCGCGTTAACTGTGAAAATACCGTGACTTTTTTGTGAACTATTTATGAGTAATCGGGAAAACTAGTCAACACTCAAAACAATTTGGGATGAAATATTTATAAATGCATTCAAAGGCTCATTGAAAAACTCCAAGGAAATGTGGGAAAATACTCTTAGATGTAAAAATATACATTTTGGAGCTTACAATATTTTCGCATTAATTTTGGTGTTACAATGCCATAACAAAATAAAAGGGATATTTACAGAAATATTAGTGCTAAAAATCTAATAGTTGTTGAAATCCACATATATTTTAAACAATTTTAAACTGACTGAAACTGATTGATCTTATACTATTTAAATCAGAAAAGAGTTTTTCCAATTTTCCGAAACTGTAATCTTCAATGGATGTGAATTAACGTTTTAAAAGGGATACATTAGGTTAGTGAAGAAGTATGTCACAGGCAGAAGGGAACACCTCCGCATTCCAATTATTTCTCATGTTTTTGTTAAGCTTTTGTACTGCGTATCACAAAATCACAGTATAGGGTAACTCATAGTTCGATACGCACGCCTATATACCGGTCACATTTGGTTTTTATTTATTTTCTACCTTTGCAGGTACATATTGAGGGACGTGCGCCCGCATATACCCAAAGGCTACATTTACACGCTGCACGACATCGGTCTGGTAATCAATAAACTAATGGGTGGCGCCTACAGGTAAGAGCACAAGAGCTGGAGAAAGTGGCAATGAAATTGAATGCAACATGCTCTGCTAAAGGCAGGAAATATTCACACTTAAAATTTAAAAAGTAAACAAATTCTGGCAATTAAAAGCTAGAACGAAAGCCAGGGAGACTCGAAGAAACGGTCAACCTGAGTGACGAGCAATTCCTTAAGGTTAGGAACAGGATAGTGCAAATTAGTTTATCACTTTAGTCCTTTCCCTTTAACTCCGGCCATATGGTTGGGTCCAGACGACTGCTGCCTTTGACTTGCTGCAGGATTACTGGATACGTTTTACGCGTTTCGGCATGCGGTTGCCAAAATTTGTTTATGAAAATTTAATAAGTTGCCACGAGCTTTGAGCGCTGGGTGCGTGCTTGAGCTTTTATTTGCGGGCCCTTGGTTTACTTTTTTTCGCTGGTTCCTCGGCGATGTCTGGAAAAGCGTAGCAATTATGCCGTATTAACATTTTGGCCAACGATGCATACATTTTTGCGGTCAAATTTAGTTAACGCGGCTTTTGCGGTTGCTTTATTTTGTTTTGTAATGGGAATATTTAAACGGAAGGTCGCTCCGAAATTTAGTTTTGGGTCTCAAAGGCGCAATGGCACAACGTGAAAAGAGCATTAGCTGCGGTCAAAACAACTTCTTTAAAGTATCAATCAACCTAAATTAAAACCAAACACCCTGTGAAAAAGTTTAAATTGTCTTAGAAGGGTAAGGAAAAGCGATTGCCACAAAAGCGAAGCTATTTAAGAAAAAAAAACCGAATTTCATCCTTGCTCGCCATTCTTGCTCTGGAATTCTTTTCTGTTTCAATTTTCTTCTAACTCGGTAATCCTGCTGTTGCTTTCAGGATTCCCTTGCCTGTTGCCTGTTGCCTCTTGCCTGTCGTTCAAGGAGCACTTAATAATGTTGTCTCTGTTGTCGTTCCTATTTCAACGTGTCAGAGCTACTAGACATACTAATTTAGAACTATTTTGTCGTGGCTTTTCTTTTTTGTTGTTGATGTTGTTGTATCTTTTGCTGTCGTATCTCTGGCATTTGACATTTGCGCTCTCGCACATTCTTGGCCTTGTGTCCGTACGGCGTGAAGCACAATAGCTATTCAAAAGTCGAAAGTTATCTGACAATCGCCCATTGATGGGAATGGGTTTGCTGAACCGGCGTCAAAGCGATTGTTGTTGCTGTCGTCGTCCTAATGCATATTTCGTTCGGTTCTCGGAGGCTTAGTCGGGGGGGTCGGGCTAGGGGTCGGGGTCTGCCTACCTTTTGTTTTCCTTTAAGTTGATTTTCCTTTAGTCGTGCTGTTTTATGGACGATTGTCATCGTCTAGCCGTTTAAGCCTCGCTGCCACAGTAGGCGCACTGTTTTCGGGCAGGGTGCTGCCAATTTGCCAATTTGGACGCAATTAAAAACGTTTAAGTCCTTGATTTGCTCTGCGATTAAATTAAATTTGTTTTGTAGGCTACGCATTTACTGATTTACTGGCGTTTTTATTTTTTGTCGTTCTTGTTGCCAAATCTCATAAATAATTTAACGAGATTGTTTTATTTCTGTAAGCCGCCAACGCCTTGCCATTTAATCGTGCTCTTGTAAAAGGTCGCAGCGCCGAGAAGGTACTTAAATGTGCCCTCATACGAGGGAACACGTAACGCTGCTCCACAGGATACAAACAGGCAATAATTTTGCTTCTAAATATAGCTGGAGATTTTGCTCATCCCCCATTATTGCCGTTGAATCAACAATTTGCTGTTATTACAAAAGCAAAAATTCAATTGGAAAAAGCAAACGCAATTACGTGCAATTTTCGGACCAGATAGAAATCACATTCGCATAAACAAACAGACAGACAGACAGACAAAAGGGCTAAAAGGCCTTAAAATGGGGCCGAAAGGAAGCACATAAAATACAAAATGAGCCTTAAGCGAAATAAGCATTCACGCCAAGCGACATTTTTATTTTGTCTGTCACACACACACACACACACATACACACAAATGCATGCCTGCTTTGTGTGCTGTGTGTGTCTTTAAATAAATTTACTGAAATGCAAATTGATGGAAAAAACTTGGCATCGCACTTGTGAATTTTCGCTTGACAATTGCCACCGAGCTTGGTATTGTATTTATTCTCTTGCCACGGCAAGCCCCCTCTTGCATGCCAATGGTTGGAGTTTTTATTCACGCACATACCCTGCCCGCAGATCTTATTATACGCGCCGCAAGTTTCGCCCCATCTACGCCAAGGTCATGAATAGCTATGCAAATGCCTGCCGGAAGTCCTCGACGTATCAATACCAACGCTATGCGGGCGCCAATTCGCTGAGCTTAGTTACCGGTTTGCTGCCATTCACCTCGGAAATGGCGCTCTTTGAGTTCCCCTTCAACGAGCTCTTGGTAAGTTATTAAGCCTCCTTGTCCAAAACCGAAAACCATCTGTTTAAGACATCTGCGCTCGCTCACTCACTTCAGATTTGGGCCGTGCTCACCAAACGACAGCAAATGGCGCTGCTCATGTGGACCCACGGGGAGGAGGCCCTGGCCAAATCGCTAGTTGCTTGCAAACTGTACAAGGCGATGGCCCACGAGGCCGCCGAGGACGACTTGGATACTGAAATCTATGAGGAGTTACGCTCCTACGCCAAAGAGTTCGAGAGCAAAGGTAAGTGAGTTTCGCGGCCATTCTAGAACTGTTTCAGTGTTAAATATTTTATTTTTATTATGGCTTCAATTCAATTAATCATTGAATTATTAAATTGACAGTTCTTCACCAATGGTCGAATAATTGCAGTATTATTCAATTTAAACCTGCTACTATGATAAACGCTGGAAAAAGTAGTCATAATTGAAGGTTTTTTGATTGCAGACAGACTTAATTTTTCGCAGTTTCTCATATTTAATTCATACTCGTAATCATTAAAGATTAAATGCGATTGCCTTCACAGAAAATATATAAATTTCTGTACCCTTCTGTTAGAATACTATTACGTGCCTCTTTTGACAGCAAACAATTTTGATTTGTATGAATAGCAATCGTGCTGGGCAAGCTGCCAACAAAATTAAATCGATACGCACGTTATCATACCAAGTTTATTTAAACAATTTCCCACATTTAGCGGCCAATCTAGTATTTATGTCCAGTTTCCTTTAGTGGAACTGTTCTATTTACAGCTTTTTTGCGATGATTATTAAAAACGATGCACAAATAAACGTAATAAGAGAAATAATTTTGCTGCTGTAAGAATTCATTTGGAAAAGTATTTGCAGTTTTAGATACGCCTTCTTTTAAAAGCAAATCAGACAATGTTTCAGGTGCTGTTCAATTTTCTACGAGTCTTATCAAAACTTATGAGAATTCCTATAGATATGTATTGTTCTTCCACACCTGGTATTTAGACATACTACATTCTACATCGACAAGCCAGAAGTGAGCTGTTTAAAAAGTTACACGAGTTTTAATCGTATTTCAATAAATTCAGAACCATTCAACAGTTGATTGCCAATCAAGTAATCTGCTTGAATAAAGGCGTTAATGTCACAGGAGGACTTTTTTCTGGGCCCTGGGTCTATCTGAGATAAAAAACATCACATTGATTGCATATGTATATACATACATTTTGTTCTGTTGACCGATTAAAATACAAAACGGTGGCAAATTTAACAGTCAGTTTCCCAGTATTTTTTTGAGGCCTTGAACGTTTTCAGATTTTCGTTTTCATGTAAATAAATTGTTGATTAAATTAAGTCTGAGCGTGGTCGAACCCATTTAATGGGCATTGATGATTGCTCGTTGTTCGCCGGCCACGTGCGAGCCTGAGTGCCACATGTGGCCACATTGCGGTATTTGTCCATCAAATGTCGTGCCTAATTAACGAAGTTACGTGGCTGGGGCTAATAGCTTTTGTGCGCTTTGCAGGCAACAAATTACTTGATTTCAGCTACCGCCAGGATGCGGAGAAGGCCCAACGGCTGCTCACCTGTGAGCTGCACTCGTGGTCTAACCAGAGCTGTCTCTCATTGGCCGTGGCCGCCAATCATCGCGCGCTGCTGGCACATCCTTGCAGCCAGGTTATCCTCGCTGATCTTTGGATGGGCGGTCTGCGTACACGCAAGAATACAAACTTCAAGGTGCGAGAGAAAGCTGCGCACACTGCGAGCCCCTTTCAATAGTTCCGCTCTATACATATTGCAGGTTATACTGGGCTTGATACTGCCTTTCTATATCAGGCAGCTGGATTTCAAGTCCAAGGAGGAATTGCAGCAAATGCCACAAACCGAGGAGGAGCATTTGGAGAACCAGAATCTGGATAACGATGACTCCGACCGTTCACAGCCCGATGCAGAGGTAAAAGCCCACAATCGCCTTTACCACTAGCACCTTGCCTTCTTTTTTTCATTGTTCAATTTGGTTTGATTTGTTATTCGAAATATTTGTTATTTGTTTGATTTTTTTATGAACTTATTCGCGACGTATATTCAAAGCATCAGTTAAGTGGCTTTAAATTAAAATTTTATTGATTTTTCCCCTTTTTTTCTAACTTTATAAATTGTAATTGGCTCCTAATTGTTTACCCATTTATCCACTAATCAACTTTACTACATTTACTTGCAACAAAAACAAACAAAATCCTGCGAATCGCGCTTCCTAATATCTACCCGTAACAACGAACGCTACCAACTACCAACTCGATCAATCTGTTTGTTTTAGAATGCGCTCTTAAAAGCGAAAAGATCTATTTCCTTGAGATATAGGATGAACTCGGGCCAAAGTAATCGAGACAAGGTAGTAATATGCCTCAACAGGTTCTTTCAATATTTTATGTAAACGATGTCTATGTAATACTTAATTATTGTCTGTGCTTATCATATCTACTATAAAACAACTTACTCTGTATGCCTACACTCCCATTTATAATCTCTTTCTGTCAATGTTCTACATACTCGTATACTCGTAAATGCGTTACTAATGCGCAATATTTCTTAGCTATCTCTGAACATAGCTCTTGTGTGCTACTATATCTGTCTAAATAACTATCTACTCGTACTTCTTTGTATTAATAGCAACAGTTTTGAATTTTGTGTCAACAGTTTCTCTGCCGTATGCTATACTACTATACTATATATACTCTACTGTCTGTGCTACATACTTTCGTACAGATTCGTGTTATTTATGTAAAATACATGTTTAGTTTTTATTGATTTCTGTGCCGTTTCGTCTGACGTTTCATGTAATACATGCCTGTATACTACATTCATATTTTTAGCCGTAGCGCCAGCTACACCCAGCTAATCAAGTTTTTAGACCAACTTGCAACCTATATATATATATATATGTGTGTGTATGTGCGTCTGCCTATGTATAAAGGCAGGACTAGGGGGGAGGGGGTACCCTTGTGCTAAACGACACGTGATGTGTAATTGACTTTAATTGGCTCTTGGTTTTAGTTTAGTGCATAGGCAACAGTTTCATGTGAATAGTAAAATAGGCTTAGCAGTAAAAACGTTTTTGTTTCCCAATGACATTTCCTCTTCAAATCAGAGTGTGCAGTTTATGGTTACAGACACACACGAACATATATGCCCCAGATTAATTAGTGAGGTCCGTGCGCATTTGTCTGCTTGTATTTTCTTCTATCCATCCACTGATGGTGCCCGTAACTTGATACACTTTCTTTTAACAATCTATTTCTTTCAACACATCTCGGCCATCAAAGTGCAAACTGATAGCGCTCGAAAAGAGTTCGCCGTCCAATAACAGTTTAACGCATTCAACAAACGTAAGTTTCAGGAATTTTAAGCACCGTAGCTTCCCCCAATTGCAACATCCATGTACATATATTTATAATCAAAGTAATTATAAATTAAGTGCCTAACCCCATTATGTCGGTCATAACTCGTTGCGGTGCTTCCACCTGCATATATACATACTATATATATCAATGTAAGGCTAATTTCATGATAATTTAGTTTAAAGTTCAATTAAGCAATAACGTTCGATGAACGCCATGAAAACACAAACACAAACACAAACAAGCACGCACGCTTCAAATACTTGTCTGTATGTATGACTGTTCTAACTGTTTAGCCATGCACTATATTATATAGTATGTATGTATGTAGCAATGTAGCAGCTTCAGTAGAAAGCACTGCACTTGTGAAAATATTGTTTTTCACTTATACGGATGTGTGCACACACACATAGAAGGACACATGCATCGACGCATACACACACGCTTTCACACATAGGGAAAATCCTTTAATCAGAAAATCCAAGCAAAATCTATGGATAGTGGGGATGAGAACTTTACAAAGCATAGCTAGGCAGAAACTGTGGACTATAGTCGCCAGCTTTTGTTACTTCTTTGATCCTATTGGTTTCTATACTGAACGAAAGGTGAACTTAATTAGTCTAAAGTATAATAGGTATTTTATCATTTTACATTTTACTCTACTACTTTTTCTAATTCTCTCAATTTAATTGTGAGTTGAAAAGCAGAAATCTAATAAAAATGAAATTATTTTTATGTTAAAAATTAATTTTTGGGGGCAACTGTAATGTTCATAGTGACACTTTTCAATCTTATTTTGTATATCACATTCAACCCTATATCTACGGCAATAACCTGTCATATTTGTTTTTACACTTACTCGTAATGCAAATCTTCCTGTTACATACAAGTATATATTCAAAATGTCCCTAGATACACATTTAATCTAGAGTGTCTGCATTGATTAGAATCAAATAATCGTATACAAAAACTATTTATATGTATTTATATTGCGGGCAGCATTGCTCTTAGCTAATGAGTAAATCAAAAAGCATTATTGTGTTATCTTATAAATACGAAACATGTGCATAAACCGTTACAGGCTCTATTGGCGGATACTTATTCAGTGCGCGATACAAAAGTTCACGAAAATGGCAAAGTGAGTAATTGCAACAACAACCTCGTAATGACAAATGCATATAAGATCTATGGTTCCATTCTACACGCACACACACAAACAAACACACCCAAACACATACATATCTTCCTACCTACTTATGCATAATTCATTGAAAAATAGGCATTGGGCCCTGAAAAGTGCAACTTCTCCAAAAGTAATTCATTCAATTCAATTAATAAGCATCTCTTGCGATTTATTAGATTTTTAGCATCACAACATCAGCAATGAATAATTGCTGTCTGGTTTCTTTTTCTTCCAATTACGTATTACAATGTAACTTGCGACGTTACGCATACGCCCCGTAGACGCACACTCGTACTATTTACCAAAAAATTCAATTCAATCGCAACAACAACATCAGCAAGCATATGAGAAACATGTGCTAATGTCTTATACTATAAACTATACTATATATTCCAACATCTCCATCACAGTTGAAAATAGAATTTTAGCTCTGCATTCTCACATGGATATCCAATAGTATTAGACATCTAACGCTTTTATACATCCGCCTGAGTATTGAGTATTGAGTACCAACAATTTTTGTAATAATAAATTTTCAGGTTAATCTCACAGCTGGAGCGGAAGAAGCACCCTCCAAAGTTAGTTCTCCCACTTTTGGTTTATCATATTTCGAACTTAATCTTTCTGAATAAATAAATGCAATACATTAATTTAATTAATTAGCGCACCTCACCACCAACCTTTTAATACTCGTACTTATACATTTACTTTAACTACTAAAACATATCGAAAGGGGATCTTTCGAATAACTTGGCATATTGGAATACTAAAGTAGTTTCAATTTATTAATTAATTATTAGTACTCGTACTGTACATACTCGTATTTTGCTTTTTGTCCAATGCTTGCCATACACAAGTAGAGCTCATTTCCCTATGCCATCGGATGCTGCGCAATATTCTGCCATAATTACTCAACTCCTCCTATGCATGCTATGTATGCCATCTCCATTAAAGACCGCTTTTGCTCATAATTGCATTATTTAAGTAGAAATACTCGCCAACTACATGCCGAAAGTTGCACATTTATACGTTTAATTGAAGACCATTGCATATACGTAATATTACGTTGTATAGTATGTTCTCACAATGCCCTCGCTCTTTAATGAAACGAAGCTCGCTGTTCCATTGCACCTAGTTGAATTTAGTTGAAGCTCAATATTTTTGCTACAAACTCGTATGTAACTTTGTACATATATTACTACATATATAGCTAACATACATACAAGTATGTACATATAGTATGTGCATATGCACCTTTATGTTTATCATTCATTTGCATACGACGAGTCGACAAACGAATATGTATCTTTTGTCTTGTCTCTATCGACTGGCACAGGTCTCGCTCACCGACTCGGATCCATCGCAGTTTCGCGAATTCTTTCACATGTCGGAGTATAATGAAATCAAGCAGCATCAGCCGTTGCGATTGAAGAAAAAATTCTATGAATTTTACACGGCGCCCATTACAAAGTTCTGGGCCGATTCGGTAAGTAGCAAGCGGAAATAAGTAGCTAGTGTTTAATTTCCGCCGGAAGAGTTGTGCTGGACAGGCACATACCGCTGGCCAGCGTGACTGCTGCTTGACAGTTTATTTTTCTGTTTGTTTTAAGCTCTGGCCTGTAATTTATTTTATGCCCTAATCTGTGTTCGTGATGGTGTTTCGTTCTATTTTCTATTTCCACCTTTCTCGCAGATCGCCTACATGTTTTTTCTGATAATGTTCTCGTTCACGGTGCTCGTCAAAATGGGTCCTGCGCCCCGCTGGCAGGAATGGTATTCGATTGCCTACATAACCACGCTCGGGTTTGAGAAAGTGCGCGAAATTGTATCCTCGGAGCCAGTGGCAATTACGTAAGAATTACAGTTAAAGTCGATTGTTAATTACGTGTAATGAGCATAAATGAGCATTCTTTATGAAAGTGTGTGAATGGGAGAGTGGGTGCGGATGTGTTCTGATTAAAAAGATATGCCTTCCTTCCTTCCGTCCTGCCTGCATTACCATTTCATTCGTTTTTCACTCCACATTTCCCACATTTCGTCCCAACGCCCTTGAATTTGAACACTTGATTTACTCGAGTGTTGTACCCATTTATACGCACTATTCATTAATTCAAATATGCCTCATGTCCCCCCGCCTCCGCCTACGCCTCCGCCTACGCCTCCGCCTCCCGCAGTCATAAATTTTCGGTGTGGGCCTGGAACATGTGGAATCCGTGCGATGGTGCGGCCATCATACTATTTCTTATCGGACTGGCATTTCGTTTTCGACCGAACACAATGGACATTGGACGTGTGATTTACTGCGTGGACAGCATTTATTGGTATCTTCGTATATTGAACATACTTGGCGTGAACAAATATTTGGGTAAGTTCTCGATGCACTTTTCCCCGTTCATATCAATTTTTCTTCACCCACACTGTACTCGTATATTGAAATCGAATCGATGGGGCACTTAATTAAATACATCATCTGTGTACTTGCAGGTCCACTGGTGACCATGATGGGCAAAATGGTGAAGAACATGATCTACTTCGTGGTGCTGCTCGCGGTGGTATTGATGAGCTTCGGGGTCAGTCGTCAGGCCATTCTCTATCCGAACAACGAGCCAACGTGGCGTTTAATACGCGAGGTAAGTCGAGCCTTTAATAAGTTCTGATGTACTAATGCGCGAGAGTGTGTGTCCGTGTGTGTGTGTGAAAGAATATATATCCACTATACATATATGTAAGTAGTAGCAAATATTGTTGACAGATATTTGCTTTAAAATATCTCAAATGATTCACAAAAATATTTGTGCTATACAAAAAAATAGAACCCGTCCTATTTAATCTTGGCTGGCTACTCGGAATCGTTGTTCAAATGGCTATATATTTGAACACTAATTTCCATATTGACATCCAGCAATGCTTAAAGGATTCCAGATGACGAAAATCACAATCTCTTTGATAATTTCGTTTATTTATAAGTGTATGTTAAGTGTGGTCGATATTTTGAAAAAACACATTATTCCTTCATTGTCCTGGACAAATGTTATATTCATATGTCCCCCATACTATGAATTGATTATGATGCGATATCTACAAACAAAGAAGATTTTCCTGCACAATTTAATTGATAGCGATCTTTAAATATACTCGTACGTATATACCTTTAAAAGCTCTGTTGGTTACCAATGAAAATATGTTCTTAACTGCTAAATAAACGAACGCAGCCTTAACTGTTGTGGCACAGACTGTGTCTGGACTATTTGCTGAGCTATCGTCTGTATGTAATTGTGTGAGCTAATTTGTTTGTGTGTGCGTGTGTGTACGAGTATGTGTATGTGTGTGTGTGTGTGTGTGTGTCTATGTTATTTGCATTTATTTAAATATGTATTTTGTGCCTACACTGACTACAGCTTCCCTTGCAGCGGCTGAAACAAATGAGAAGACAGTTAAATTGTATTTAAACGGAGTACATGCATTTACTTAATAGGAAAAGAACATTTTTGGCTCTAACTCTCTCACTATGCTCACCACGAGTAGTAGATAGTAGCATTCATTTTTGGCATAATAAGTACATATTATTAATACAAAATAATAATAAAGAAAACACCCGTAATGTAGCTTAGTTCTATTGACATTTTGCGTACCACACAGTCCATTTTTAGCAAGTTTCCTATTCGTTGTCATATAATCGTATGTATGTAACAATGCTGAGCATAACAAACTAAAAGCTATTTTCATTGTATTGTACTGTATTCTTCTTTCTTTTGTACTTTCAAAACATTGAACAAATCACTTCGATCACCTCGCTTCACTTTCCTCCTCATTCACCTGTCGAATTTTCATTAAATACGCACCTCCACTGTACGCTCCATTTCTACATTCGAATTCCTTGAATAAATCGCAAATCGGCAGGTTATCGCCGGCTCGATTGTAGCGCCCGGATTCTTGGGTGCCATGGGCCATAACAGTCGTTCGCACAATGCGCGCGGCGCTGGCTTTGGACCCAGCGTCTTTTCTGGCTATCATCGTGGCCACAATCCAGCGGCAACAGCACCACCAACAACAACAACCAGCACAACTACAACAACAACGACAGAGGGCACATCAGTGCCCCTAACACCAACAGCAACAGCCACTGAGCACGCAACAACAACAACAACAACAGCAACCCCAAACGACAAAGTCGAGCTTTACAATTTGTTGAGCGGAAATCTTACAAATGTACACCCAAATGACAATCAAATTGGTTTGCTATATAAAAAGAGAAAGTACTCGTACTCGTAGATCGGCATAGTATATGGCGTCGTTAGCTAACACAAAACAAAACAAAAAAAAAACAAAAACGAATTAGTATTATGAATTTATTTAAATACACCTACTCGTATACTGATACCAGCCTCAATGTCTATATATGCAACATAGTTGTGCCTTAATTAAATTTTCCATATTCTTTTCCTTACTTGATTTGTTGTCAGCGGATTCCTTATTTCGCAATTACCTATAGGTGTGTCTGTGTGTGTCTCGCTCTCTCTCCCTCTCTCTCTCTCTCTCTCTCGCTCATCCTCTCTGTATATATTAACTCAATGACCCCCTCTGTCTCCTTCCTTTGCTGTCAATCTGTACGCTCTTAACTCTAGCCTTCCTCTACGAGGGGCATTAACTGTGCCCCTGATTCTGTGTAGTACTTATAAGCGTGAGACTATAATCTCGTTTTCTGCTCGCAGCCTTCATTGATTTTTTATCATATACGTGTACATGTATAGTACCTTTTTAGTGTAGTACTCGTATATATATATATAGCAGAATGTGTGTTGATATTGTTGCATGACTCTTAAAAACTCGATACGTAAAATGCTTGTTTTAGCATCCATACTAGTATGAGAAGTAAATGTGTGTACTCTGTTACTTATTATGAATATTTATGAAGACTTATTTTTTGCATTTCAAGCGCGAATATTAATGATTTATTTGTCTTTTCCTTTCAACCAACCTCTTGACTCTGTTCGATTTTTTTTTTTTTTTTTTTTTGTTGTTTATTTTCTTACCGTTTGCAATATTTTACATTTTGCATGCAAAATGCTATTAGCGCTTACATAATGCCGCTGGCTTGCTGCATTCTTGTGCATCTTGTGGCTCAGACGATCCAAAGTGTCCTGCAGCAAAAGGTTATAGTTCATCTACATATATCCAATTCAGCAGAATAGAACTCGAATACAACTTCTGATAATAGAACACCGATGCTGCAAAGCATTATATAAATGATCTGAAGGGATCAGCTATTAAGAGCTTACATTTCTAAGTTACTTAGCATGTTGACAAATTGGTGTTTGTATTAGAACTTCCCATACTTGCTTCGTCATATTTCGAAACATTTTAAAATAAAATGCATTTCCAAGAAACGTTTCTAAAATAAATGTGTTCAGAAAACATGACCAACTTCCAATTTGGAGGCATATAGTATACCTATCAAAGCTTTTTTTGCCAACACAATTGGAAAAAGTGAATATTGAATAAGATGAAGTCATTTAATATGTGTCCAAAATTTCTTCTTTATAACGTTATTCTGCTTTACGACTAACTTTAAAGTGAAGTTCGAAATAAGATTTCAAAAGACACAATTAAGAGTAAATTCCACCAGCTGGACCTTAACCCAATTAGCTTGGGAATTTGAATAAATTGAAAGTGTGAATTGTCTTTTAGCTCTCCCATTTCTTTAATAAGCCGAAAATCTTCAGCAGCAGCTGGATAGAAGCTCATTATGCATACGAGTATGTAATGAACTGAGAAATAAATAGCGCCACTTGCTGCTGGGACACTGTGGTAGTCGAGCCATAGGGGCACAGATTGGCGTCCATGTGTTTTAAAATCAGAATTGAACCAAGAAAACAAATCTCCACCACACACACACTGATAAACAGCCACACACAAGTATAGCTGTATAGCTGTCTAGCTGTCTAGTATGTATGTACATTTATACTATATAGTTGTATGTATATGGCTAGTACTGGCTGCCAACTCGATATCTACACGAACCCATACCCCCAAACATACAGAAATGTTATGCCAACCGGAATTATATTACCTTCCTGCTGCCTTTTAATCGCTCCCCTTAATTTATCGTTGCACAGGTCACCTACCAGCCCTACTTTATGTTGTACGGTGAGGTGTTTGCGGACGATATTGATCCACCCTGTGGCGAGGATCCGCGTCAGCCCGCCTGTGTCACGGGTACGTATGGCCGGCAATCTATCTCAATATCCTAGTAGAATGACGTAATACAAGTTTGTGTGGAAAATGCTCTGTTCTGATATTGCAGGTCATTGGGTTACGCCAATAACGATGTCCATGTACTTGTTGATTGCCAATATTTTGCTAATTAACCTTCTCATCGCCGTCTTTAATAACATATTCAACGAAGTTAACTCGGTGTCTCATCAGGTGAGTAAATGGCTAAGAAGTAGCCGAGCATTCAATAGTGCGTGGTCTTGATTCCCACCCATGTGGTTTTGTGTTTAGGTGTGGATGTTCCAGCGCTTCACCGTCGTCATGGAGTACCAGCAGAAGCCGGTCCTGCCACCGCCCTTCATAGCCTTTTGCCATTTCTATTCGCTGCTCAAGTATTGTGTGCGCAAAGCGAAAGGTGAGCCCGGAATGAGAAAGTTTAGCTTTGTTCCCTGTGAGTTTTCATCTGAGCGCTCATGTAATATCTAACAGCAATAATGTACAAATATATACTTTTTTCTTTTGCGTGCCTGCCCTAACACAACTTAATAATCAACTGCATCAACATTATTACCTACTAATACAACATCAATATAAAATATGTGCCTACTTGCTGCCTTTGATTGCTAAAACATTCAACAACGATAACTTACTAATAATATATACTTATATATATATATGCATATATATATATTTTGTTTTCCTTTTGTGCGGCAATTTCCAATTCGTGTGGCTGCCAAATACGTGTATTTCTTTTCCGTTCGAACTTTTTTCAATTGAATTTATATTCTCTTCCGTTGCTCCTTACGTTTTTAACTGTCATGATTGGCCGTGTTTTGTTGTCGTATGCCTGACAACGCTTGATGTGCACTAAACACCGAACTGAAATTGTCTGGACTTTGACTTTGACACTGACATTTCGGTCTGTGCACATCTCGAGCTCAAAATTTGTGCTTCCCATTTCTAAAACACATTGTTCATGTAAACTCAACTGGCTATGCTTTCTAATCAACTGCCACAGGATTGGAGGTGCAAAGGGACAACGGTCTCAAGTTGTTTCTCGAAAAGGACGATCTGGAGCGCCTGTACGACTTCGAGGAGGAGTGCGTCGAGGGATTCTTCCACGAGCAGGAAATCATTCTGAATCAGTCGACCGATGAGCGTGTCAAGAACACAACGGAACGTGTCGAGACCATGTCGCAAAAAATCGAGGATATCAATCAAAAGGAAAACTTACAGACGGCCACTGTACAGGTGTGTGTAAACCGCCAGCAAGCAGGCATCTTTTGCCTGTGTGTGTGTGTGTGTGTGAGTGTACGAGTATAGGTGTATGTGGGGATTTGTTATGCAAATTTTTTGGCACCACCTGCAAACACATCGAATTCAAAAGAGGGAATGCGATTTAAAATGAACTCATACTTAAGCTCACAAGCAGATAAAAAATAGAACTGAGGAAGAAGACAAAAATACTGCTGCTCTTTTTAAATAACACCTGTTTACAAGGTTTCGAAGAAAAATCTGATCTAGCTAGTCATTTCTATAACAAACTTATCTTTATAAAATGTCCAAGCACTTCTAAGTAAGGATATTTTTCTATATATTTAATACTTTTTAAATCGGATGGTTGGGGTTTCTGGATATCCCTAAATTGCATGGGTATATTATTTTTGGTGTGTAGGCTCGTAACTCTCAGAAGAAAGAAGACAAATCGAATTCAAATCGCGCTGTCCGTCTTTGTATTTATTTATATTTCAATCGCGAATAAACTCTGCACGCAGGTTTCTCTTAAACGGAAACCGAAACGATATGGTCTTTGTATTTATTTATATTTCAATCGCGAATAAACTCTGCACGCAGGCTTTTCTTAAACGGAAACCGAAACGATATGGTCACGAAATAGTTTTTGTAGGAAAACCTAATATTGTTAGAAATACAAAATAACTTATTTTAAAGAAGTAAAATAAAATAGCACCGAGAAGTAAAGTTTTGTTTTAAAATACAGTGAACTGACGAAGTTATCTTTTTATCTCGTTTAAATGTAAATTTGTTCGGGTTCAACAGTCCCGTAAACTAGTGTAGTAGTGTAGGTGTATTCGCATTTTTCGCATGGCTGGTTTCCACAGAAGAGAAATCCTTATGGAAATGTAATTCCGAGCTCAATATAAAAATAAATCTGAAAGCGTGAATTCATGTTTCTTCTGCTTTGTACAACTCTTTGCAGAACATTGAATACCGATTGCGCAAAATGGAGGAATCATCCGAGCAGATATTGTCCCATCTGGCCGTCATACATCGTTTCATGTCGACCCACACCGCAGGCACCGACGAATTACACGCCTCCACCTCAAACATTCCAGGTGAAATGCATCGCATGCGCACCATTTCCATGTCGGACAATGAAGGCGGTGGTGGTGGCGGCGTCAGTGGCAGTGGTGGCGGTGGCGGTGGTGTTAGCGCTGGTGGCGCTATTGGCGCACTCGGGCTAGGTGCCAATCTCAGCATAAATTCCCTACAGGTGCGCTTAATTATTTGCTCTGTGAATGGAGCTGTCACCGCTGACAAGTTGATTTCGTTCGCTCCGCAGGTAACCAATAGACGTCGCTTCAATCGCTCGCTTACCGAGGTGCGTCCCGACGCTTACATCCTAGATGAGGGCACACATTTCGAGGTGGTGCCACTGCCCGAGGAACCGGACGAGGTGGTGAAGTCGCGTGAGGCGCTCAACGAGCAGGTTATGCGCAAGGCCTCCATGCAGTCGGAAACGGAATCGGACATCTATTTGCCAATGTCGCAGCGTCCCTCGACGTGCGAGACAGTGAAGCGCACACCATATGTCACCGTTCGCCAGGACACGGGGGCCAGCACGGAGAGCAAGGACACCCTTACACCGCTGGGCCACAATGACGATGATCACACGCTAGTTGGGGGCGAGAATTCGGACGATGCGGCGCCGGATATTAACTTTGAGGGTAATTTGCTTACGAAAAGCGTCTGACTAGCTTACTCAGCCGTCCTGTGCCTCGTTACGTTTAATATCGTTTCCGTTTCCCCTCTGTTATTTTCTGTGACTGCCAAGCGACTTCGCATCTTTCTCTTACATCTTACGAGTACTTAATATAAACTGTATATATCCTGTGTTCTTCGCATACAGCTGCCAGACATCGGGCGCTGCGGCAACGCACTGTTTCGCTGTGCCGTCGCAATTCAGAGACTGGTTCGATGAGTGGCGCCGAGCTCATAAATCGCTCCCACATTAGTCTTAACCAGTTGGTGCTCTCTCGCCGCCAGATGAGCCTCACCCAGTCCGAGCCAGACAGTGACAAGGATGTGCCCACTGCGACGGGCGCCGCCCCTGCGGGTATGTTCGACTAGAAAACAGAATACGAGTACATTAGAACAACAACAAGTTATCCATGCTCCCATAAGATTCCTGTGCACTCTTGTCGAAATTTACGCACCTAGTTCCCCACCTGAAAAAGGTCCCTAATTAATTACCTAACCCGGCCCACTAATCCAGCATTCCACAACAACAAAAATCAAGAATTGGTCGCCAGACTACTAGTTGCCTCGGTTTCTATAACATTTCCTCACCCCACCATTCATGCAATCAGATTAGAGTTGTAGGGTCCTGTTCACTCACTTCTATGCCGTAGCGGATTATCCTTTTCAATCCGTGCGAGAATTGATTTCGAGCAAGGATCGAGCAACTCGAATACTTACCATAATAAATACCATGCCAATGACATAATCGTAATACTGTTTTCACAACTCGCACACAATTGATCTCACACGCATAATTTCAACACCTAACACCGGAATCTAGGTAAATCAGTATTGCATGCGAAACCCTCCAGAAATATATTGCTGAAACTGCACAGCGAGTACACATCGATAACGGACGAGCTGGAGAGCGTTTGCCATATGATTGCGTCGCCGACGGTGTCGCTGCAGAGCACCAACAAGGGTGAGTTTCCGAGTAGCCGAGTGGAGGGGCTGCAACGTACCCAAGGTCGCACAAATCCAAGTGCAAGTCCAATGTGGCACAAATAACTCCTTCATCAATTGCGGCGCAGCATCTGTAAATATATAGCTTTCAGTTGATTCCTGAAAATATATAATTATAACCGTGCTTATATTATTCGATCAAAGCTGTACAAAATGCCCGAAACCGAACCAAGCCGCAAGACCAACCATTTACATCCACATCGCCCCACTACCTCATTACTTATGCGGTCTCTTGTCTCGTTCGCAGCCTCATTGGATCGGCCCAAGACAGAAAGATCGCGGGCAGAGGAAGCGGCCCTTCAGGAGAAGATGCACTTGAAGGAGTGCGAAGAGAATGACTACAAAATACTCGAAGGGCTATTCGAGGCGCGTGGCTCGATCGATTCGAGCATTCAGGCATATGAGGTGAGTACTGAGCCCTCTTTCCCACTCTATTCTCATAATTCACACCTGAATCGCATAGGTGGGCGTCTCTGTGGACTACAGCCATCGCTATCCGCTGCGTCGGGAGACCGCCATTGAGCTGTCGCCATCGAAGCCTTCGGCCGAGGGGGGCGCCATTGGCTGCGACAGCAGCGATACCAGCAGTGCGATTGGCGCCGTTGGCAGCTTCGGAGGTGCCGGGGCATTCCAGCTGAAGAACGAACGTCCTTGGCAGCGCAACTCATCCATGGAACAGCAGTCGTTCCAATCACCCTCGGGACCCACCCGAGCCACCAGTGACTTTCTAAATCCACCTTACGAGAGCATCGGGCGCCTGTACAAGAAGTCTAGCGAGAGCTTGCAAAAGAACTCCAGCACCGATACGGACTACTCGGCGCATCCGTATCGCTTCATCAAGCAAAGCTCTAACGAGACAAACACATCGCTTACTGGCTCCTACAACCTGGACACCCCTTCGCTGACGGCCGAGCCTTCGCTGGATGCCGGCGACTCTCACTCCGCAACGGGCATCAGCATGACCGTTGGAGGTGCTGGCGGCAGTGCCACAGCGCGTTACCAGCCTAAGCGCACAGCATCCGTGGGCGCAGTCGACAACAGACGTTTGCGCGACGAGAGTTCCAGCTCCTTGGACCTGAGCGCAGCGCCAGTAATGACGCAGGCACCGCCAGCACTGCCAACGCGTCCCATGCAGCTAAAGAAACAGTTTAGCATGGACCAGGGCAAGCCGTTGCAGGCGCAGTCTATCGCTGACACAGCAGCGGAGGCCAGCGCGAGCACAAGCTCAAGCTCGGGTGCAGCAGCTGCCGTGCCGACCCAGGTTGGCGCCAAACTGATTTCCACGCTCAAGCCGCCCTACACCAGCCGGCTGGGCATGAATGTGCTCAAGGAGAGCAGCTCGAGCACCGAGGAGTCGCGCGACGGCGAAACGCTTTCCGCCACAGCCTCGACCAAGGGCAGCACCACGGCGCTCGCCATACCCCAGATTAGCACGCATCTGGTGCAGGACGAGATTGCGAAGCTGTCCTCGAACATCAAGAGCAGCACGGAATCGGAAAAGGATCCGCCATATAATGAAACCATGTGTTAGGGATTCTTCGCAAATTTTCAAATAACTGTTTGCTTGATTGAAAACTGTATAGTTATATCTGTATGTTAGAATATAAGGCTTTCAATTTATACACAGTTCTAAACGCATATGGCGAAGTTATGGTCAATCGATTATCAGGTCGTTGATTATTGTATATAAGTTTCCGATGGTTAATATGTCCTCTGTTTGCACTGATTGTTAAAAGTACACCAGCAATATTTTTCCTTCTCTGATAATCAACTGACTGTAAAAGGCCCATTTGTACTTGTATCTTTAAAGTGTATGCATACATATTTAAATCCACCTTGTGCTCAGCAACGCTACTAGTCAATGGCTTAATGGTTCGAGCAACTTAAATCCAAAGTACTTACACAAGAGGGGAATATAAAAGTAAATAATAGTAACAATAATGGCAGGCGATACTTAGTTCAATATGCATTATCAATGGGAAATCTTTAAGGCCTAGCAAGCCAAGTAAGTGTTAATGTTTTTGACAATATGATAGAAAGTCTCTGTATTTTTATAAATGTATTTATTTACAAGTCACAGTTTATTGTTGTTATCATATATAGTAATATACAAAGGTACATACAGACATACTATATAGAGAAAAATGCATGCATTTATCTGAACAAACAAATAATGGAACAGTTCTTCTCAAATATCAGCACAAAATTGTCGCCAATCTATCAAGTCAGCACAAATCAAACTTTGGTACAAAACGAAACACTAAGGACAACTACACGTGCACATTATGCCCCATTTTACAATATTTTAGGAATTAGAATACTCTACATATTAAACACTACATGCAACTTCACATATCTTGTAGAACACTACAAACACTTTATCAAACAGTTTATCAAAGCCAATTTAATGCCACATACATATGCACTTGCCCCAATCTATGGCACACTTCATGTCTTGAATGTGTGTCTATGTTCCTAGACTAATACGATATATTGTTATCTGTATATCTATGTGCTTAATAATGTGTAAATCAATGTCTGTTTAACTTATAGTATACACACATACATATTTATGAAGTAATTAGTTAGTCCCTTTTTTCTCATTTATACATATAAACAAAATTATTTCCGAGATGCCGCCATATAACTCTGTATATAGATATTAATCGAGCAGAAAAAAGGAAAAAAAGAGAGTTCGGTATATTTGTTAATGATCGGCTTCTTCTTAAATGCCCAACTAGGAGTTGCTTAGTTTTAAACTGTTTCAAAATAGATGAAGGAAAAGCCTATAGCATTTTATTACAAATGTATTGTACATGTTGTTCTAAGAAATAAATGTAACGTCCTTAATGAAATTCCAATAGTTTGATTACTTTCAGTTTTTCCTATACCGGTTAGTAATTATTTCTTGAAGCCAGAAACACCTTTTGTTGTTTGCCATTATCTTGCTTTGAGTTTATTAAATACTTTCGCTTACATAATACTAAGATCTTTGATTTCACACAATGAAAAAGCGAATACGTTTTCAAATGTTATGTAAAGTCTTTTATGGTATAATTCAGAAGAACGTTTTCATTTTACAAATATCTTATACATATACAGTTAGGCCCTAGTTCCACTGCCCGCAACTAACGCATTACATATACAAACACAAAAGATCTTTATTGCAAGGGAAAACTATATATAGTAATACAAATAGCTTAGTTCCCCCAGGAAGCGGTTCCTTTTTGTTATGCATTAGAAACTGATGTGAAGTTTTCTTTGAGATGCCCAAAATGCAATGCGAATAAGTGGAAAAGGGGCCCTTACAATGGCAAAAAGGGCTTATAAACTTAGGAGCAATGTAACATTCATAAATAATTTGTAAAAATAAAAATATGTAAACAGGACTTGGAGCATTACTCTGACCAGCAAAAACATTGAATGCATCGCGGGTGAGAACAATCATTCTACATTCTACAACTCGTTTCTGATTGAACACAATTGGCCAAAACAGTACCCTGTTGACTGACTGACATTGAAGGATGCAGGCAGGAGTTGGGTTCGGTTGCACCCTCCCTGGGACGTGATGTCGTACACTTAGCCTAAGCCAATGCTCTGCGAGCACTGGAAATCACACAAGTCAGCTTAATTATGGTCGCTATTAAGGTTCTCAGCCTCGGGCTCTACTGGATTCTGTTGAACCAATTTGTCCAGCTCCTCTTTCGTCTTGCGCTCAAAGAAGCCCATCTGTAATGTCAAGGAATCAGAAGGATTTGTTACAATTTCGCGTTCTTGCGGACTCACCTTGTACATTAGATATGTAATGCCCGCTAGGAGCAGCAAGCCACCAATGATGGCTAAGATAATGATCCAGATGGAGAGTGAGGACTTCTGATGCTTTGAGATAGTATTCGCGTCGATCTTGCGTTTGACAGAGATCGAGCTGCCAAGTAGATCCCCTTCCTTGCGTATTCCCAAGTCAATGAATATAGCAAAGTACTCCCATGGCTCGATTAGTATGGAGTTGACCTCATTGAGATCGACGCTATAGCGCATTTTTACTGTTATTGGTTTCTCGGGCCTAAAGTTATAGACGTTGAGCTTGGCGCGGACGCATATCGTCATTTGGGGATCGTAGCAGCTGAACACTATTGTGCGATTAACTGGCAGTTTTTCTTTGTATTCGCTGGGTAGATCGTGGGTCTTGGCATTAGAGATACGTGCGTATTGGTCTCGGTTGGCCGTCAGAGCTTTTAGATCCCGGCGCTTACGCGACATTGAAGCAGTGGCCACTGAGTCTGAGTCCAAAACTTGCCATGTTTGATGGGCATGGCCGATGTTTCCATTCTGGGTGATCGTATTCTTCTCCACATACTGTTTATTAATGCTAGTCGAGATCTCAACAGTGTTCATTAGAATCTGCGTGTTATTTTGATCGACCAGGTCGATGGCCACCAGTTGCGAATCGTAGGTTGCTTGCATCGTCAGATTGTTTATATTGATGATGGGTATAGTAGCTGTGGAGCCAGCCACCTTATAGGCGATCGGTATGAAGAAACTTATCTCCAGTTTTCCCACAGTGCTGGGCCCATTGCTCTTGATTTCGTAATTGTTGTTTATTTCAGCCGTGTTTTTATAATGCTCCAAGTTAATATCTTCGTTCGTTTGACTCCTGAAACAAAATTAATAGGTATTCGTTGTTAGTATCCTTGCAGTGCAGAGACTAGCGACAAAACTTACCCCGTGGCATCAATTTCGGTGTACTCTCTCAGGCTGATTACATTCGTCAGCTTGTTATCCATTGGATTTTTCTCGTAGCCCGTGCTGAAGACCTCGGCGCTGATTATCAGAGAACTGTCCCTGAGGCTACTCATATCGAAACTAATGGAAATGCTGTCCTTATCCCCCTTAGCCAAGGGACGTCCCCGGTTCAGGTCGCAGACCATAACTGCATCGTTGACCTTACAATTCCACGGAATTTGGGAAAATCTCAAGCGGCTCGAGCTAGTCACATTGAACTGGGGCAAGTAGGCTGCCTCGCCGTTGTTGGTAATATCGTAGTTGACTCGGAAGGTGTTGTCACTGCCCAGGGTATATGTGTTGCTGTTGAAGATGCAAGATTGAAATATAAGAATGCGATGATTTGGGGAAACCACGCTTTACTTACTCCACATTTTTGCTGACCAATTGGAGGTCTGCAATGCAAATTTCTGAGACACAGCCTGTGCTGAATATTATCCTTTCAGTGAAAACCTTGGGATCTGCGGGATCAACGGCAACGCACGTTTCGCAGAACTCTGTAAAATTTAAAACGAAATTGCTATTTAATGAAAAGTGCGAAAACAAATTAAATTTTCGCAGCTACCTTCCGAGTCGGGCACCCCCTTAACCAGCTGGTAGTGCATCTCCAGATCGATGGGCTTGAAAATATCGTTAACGCTGTAGACCACATTGCATTCGAAGACCCGGCACTGTTGCGTTGCGCCCGCCGTGGCATTGAAGGACAGTTCGTTGGTGCGCGTCTGCGTAAAGCTGACGCGCTTCACCTGCGGATCGACGACGATGCGTATTGCCACATCCTGCTGCAGTGCACTGGGCAACGTGGATGTGCTGGACAAGCCGTAGCAGGCTGTGATTTGGAACTTTGTCTGCTCCGGCCTGATTTCACGGGCTTGCGACTTAATGGTGGCCAGCAACTTGACCACCGGATAGGCGCGATACAGGTAGAGGGCCTCGGCATTGGGTGCACCAATTGCAAAGTCATTGAAGCCATTGCCGTCAATGTCAGAGCCACGAGACAGGCCGTGACCAAACATGTGCTCACCATACTTTGAGGGTTCCAGTTGGGGTGCATCCAGCCGCTGGCTGGGTTGATCGCGCAACCCCTGCTCGTTGCCCAGGTAGATAAAAACGGAGCCGTTCCCCGCAAAGGGTGCGCCCACTGCAATGTCTGAGCAATCGGATTGCGACAGAAGGTGTCAAGGTGTTGTTAGCAAGCAGCGGTACGAGTGTAAGCTGAGCTATCTATATATAGCGGACCACTCACCATTGTAGCCATCGTGATTAATGTCGCCCAGTCTCGTCAGTGTCGTGCCGAAACGTGCCTTCGTCGGAATCGGTGATTTCAGCAGCTTTGAGTCGAAGTTGAACTGCAGTTGGTGGGAACCAGAGACAAAGCATTACATTGCCAAATCGGGCAAACATATATCGGGCATTACTCACCTGACCCTTGTTAGTGAATACATAAATTGCACCGTTATCGTTCGAGTCTTCGAGCGTGTGCTGTGGGGCCGAAATGATGACGTCAGTGAGGCCATCGCCATTGAGATCTTCAGCCAACACCGCATATCCGAAATACTCGCCGAACTGCTCGCCCCGGAACACATGGTACTTCTTAATGGTCTTGTCGCGTATATCGAAGATGTATCCCTCGCCCGACTGCTCATTGGCCTGAGGTGCTGTGGCCACATAGAGCAGCTTCTTCAGATCGTCGCTGTCGAAGTGGCCAGAACTCACAGAGTAGCCGAAGTACGAATCATCAGACTGCCCCCACAGGGCGGGATTGGGAATTTTCGTTTCGTATGTGAATTGAGGCGAGTTCTCTTGGTTTTCGTTGGCGCGTGGTTTGCGACGCAGGCTGCTTGTATCGCGGCGACTGGCCGATGGGTCGTCCACCAGCAACGTCTTGCGGTAGCGTATGACGGATCCCTTCCACGTGTGTATGCCGGGGGCACCAATCAGGAACTCCTCCTGGTCGTCTGACACGTGAGCGCTGAGACCTTGCTCTGCGAATATATAGTAGTAGAACTTATGGTCCGTATCATCCGTTTGAACCTGATCCGTTTTGAGCCGCAGCGGTGAAATCTTCTTCACATTCTGCGGTGTGTCACCCAACGTGTCGGCCACCCAGTAGCAAATGCCGTGCATATGGTAGTCGAACATGCTCGGCGCTATAAATCGGGGCGCGCACACCAACAATTTGTCTGTGTCTTGGGTGCCGCCGTCCATTGAGGCGCCCAACCACTGGTTATCTCGCATCTCCGAGTCGAATGTGTAGTCCGACGTCTCAATGCGAACATTGCCTTTCGCGTCGAGGACATATGGTATGCAGGTGGCATTCTGAATGGAACACTTATAGATGGCCCCCGTCTCGTTCACGTTGCGCTGCGCCTCGAGGGTGGATTGGGCCAGCGGTGCTCCAACTATAATGCTGTCGATGTCGACGGAACAAAGAGAAGAGAAGAGAAGGCAACGTCAGTAATGGAACAAAGACATAGTTAGACACGTTCCTGAGTCACCCACTCACACACACACATAATTACGAGTGCATATAGTGTCTCATGCTTTCAATATTCAATCGTTTGACCAATTTAACCTTGAACTTCCCTCAATTGTAACATCAATAGATTTACATTTATTGAATGATACATTGAACCAATTTCTGGTATGCATCATTTCGAAATTGGAAGTGAGTTGTTAGATTTCTTCGAAAAATATTGAGCGCTCGTTGCACTTATCGCTGATTGGCTTAAACAGATAAAGACCGGGGCATTATCTGTGAACGGTGCGTATACTTAATACGAAGTCATAGACAATACAAGTGACTTTCAGGGCGTTGGCAATAGGTGACCAGCATTTAATACAAAGGCATTTTTAGACACACTGGTATCTAGCAGCAACAACAACAACAATAAGAACAGTATCACCCTCGTAATCTTATCGAGCAATATCGACTGAAACGAAAGGTGACGGAACGCTTGCGGGCGATAACAATTGCCGTTGGCATTGGTGCTCATAATACACCGTTATGTGCTTTCAGTTGGCAATTGAATTAGGTTAGCTAGGAATATCGCTCGATTCCCAAATGCAATACTATTCACATAATGTGTAAACGTGCGCGAATGTCGCAAATATTTGCATAATTCCAGGTTCGCATAATTCACAAACACACTCGCACACACACACGATCACACACCACCCACGAAAGCAGAGCAGTCGAGAAAGTGATAGCGCCCAACATGCTCTTATATCTACAAACCATACACATACACATACAAAAAGATGTAGATACTTGTGTGTGTGTAGTACATGGGGCATGACTTCATCATTTGGAGTGAACAAGTTATTGAGATTTTGTGTGTCTAACATGATGTGTTTTATGTATTTTATTGCGCTTATTCGTCACAAGTACCGCATTGAACTGGACTTTAAGTTTCAGCCGCTTCGGCGCTGGGAATGCATGAATCATCAACAACTCCAACAACCTGTTTGTGGTAACGGCAAGCGACCAGGGGACCCCAAAAGCCCAGGCTTACCCATTTTTCCGCAAACTGATCGTGTAACCGAAGTATGAGGCACGGCCTTTTGGTAAAGAGGTCACAAATTGCGGATCTCTGATCACTTTATTGGGTCGGGGTGATAAATTGTAGCTGCAGGCGCTTCCCCATAGCCCGATTGTTAACAATGTTGTTATCAATATTGTGCCGGGCCGAGAGTGGCGGGACTGACAATGCCGTCTTGCCATATTGGCGGCGTGAGTGTTAAACGACGAATCGCTTTTCGATTTTATTAATAACTGGTTTATGTTGCGGCCAAAGCCGTCGAATGAAAACTAAACGTTTCGATTATTTTATTTATCTCCAACTCTTGGCCACTCGCAACCCACACGAATCGCGAACGCGCTTCAACCGTCTTGAATGAGTGTCGCAAGGCAACTGAGCGGCAGAAGCAACTCTTGACTTCGTAGACGTCGGTGATAAGTGAGAGAGTTGAGCTGCACTGGGCGAAGAGAGAGTGAGACGTACTGTGAGAAGCTACCGGCCACCTGCTTACTCATAGTACCGTTGCCTATGTGTGGGTATAAGTGTGCGTGTTAATAAGAGCGCCGTTTATGGCGCTTCACCATTTATGGGAAGAAACAACTGGTTGCCCTTGCCTGCAATCGAATTCAACACACCCCTTAAGAGAGTAAGCGAAAAGTCAAATAGTACCTAGTGGGCGGCATCTAGGATAAAATAAATGTCAATCCTTCAATAGGTAGCACAAAAAAATACTGCAAATAGTGACTAATTCAAGTACAAGTATGTTTCTGTTATCGATAGGAATAATTTTAGTATACTAGAATAAATGATAAATACAAACATTTAAGGCCAAGCATTCTGAATATTTTATAGCACTACACTGTACTGAGAGATAAAGTATTAGGTAGCTTATCAAATATAGAAACACATAATTATAGCAAACAGCGTTTTGTGTTTTTGCAAATATTCTTATCACTCAGATAAAGAGAATAGATTCGATGCTTTACTTACTTATAAAAACCCTCTAATATGCAAATTAATTTATTTTACTGCTTATCTATTCAAGTAAATATAGGAAAGTCATAATTGTATTCTTTTCAACAAATATTCGAGTACTAAAATAACAAGTCTTTTTTGACGCAAAAATAAACAATTCACTCAACTCCATTCGATCATCAATTTTTAGTTTTCTCAAACATCATTCTACCTAAGTATGTAGTAGTAATATGAGAGACTTTTCGAAACTGCAGTGCACTCGAAACTTGTTGGAAACTCAAATACTCAGCTGTCACAAGACTAATAGATGAGACAAGGCTTATATTCTTCTGACAAACAAATTGTTGAAGTTTGCCACTTGAAAAAAGTGTGAGGCGCGATAACAACAATATAAAAAAATGTGCAAACATATTTATGTACATATGTATGTGTTTTAAAGGTCGAAACTTCCACAGTAAGCACATTGTCATGGCTACCTGTTAGTCCCACATGTGAAATTCATGCCAAAACAATCAACGAATATTTGTTTTCACTTATACGTTCAACAACAACAATGACAACAACAAGAGCAGCAACAGCAGCAATAATAGCAAGTAAACAAATATACATACATACAAACATAATTGTAACTGACCGTCCCACCAACACTAGCTTGGGTATTTCCCAAAAATAAATAAATAAATAAAAAGTCATACGAATGATTCATCCAAGTGAAGTGTCAGAGCATTCGCACACACACAAACACACTTACATAACGGCATGTTTGTTTGTATGTGTGGCATTGCATGGCCAGCCTGAGTGCAGCAAAGCTTTCTTCGTCTGCAGCGCGTGGGTGGTCGAGTGGAGGTGCTCTGTTTCAATTTAGAGATACGACTCAATACATAAGTATATACTTACATATATGGCATATATATTTATATCTCAGAGAGTACGCTTGTGTATGTGTGCATGTAACTCGGACAGACAGCAGCTAATGGGCGGGCAGTGAGGCCGCACGCATGGAACTCAGAAATCTTTGTGACCACATTGGCGACACAACAGCAGCAGCAACAACAACAACAGCAGCAACACACACACAACAATGCCAACAAATATTTAAGAACAAAAGCTATGCCCGCCATCGAGTTTATTGACCACGAGAAAAAGCGGCTAAAAACAGTTGAGAAGCGCTAAGCTGTCTCGACTGCCTGCATTATTATGCAGCTGTTGTTGTTGTTCTTGTTGTTGGGCAGACGTTGCCTCATATACGCACGCACGCATGTATGCATGTGTGTGTGTGTATATATGTATGTGTGCTCGATACGGGATTTGGAAACAGTTATGACTCACTGCAAACGAATGCGAGCATCTGGGCTTGAATTTTCGCTGCCCATGCGACACGACAAGGCAGCTTACGAGTAAATCAGCCCAATGATTAAATTTTCTTAGTAATTAACTGCAGACGAACGACTAATATGTATAAAGTTCTGGTATGCACGTGTATGTGAAAAGTTTCAGTTGAACCAGTGTTTGCGAAATAGTCACCACATTTTCTGTAATTTCTTGGGACCTGCTCTGATTTTCGCGTCATTCATTTTCCTTAAGTCTTACTCACAAATCGAAATTAAATGTCGTTTTTAAAAAGGCTTCCAGAAAAAATACTATAGTACTTATAATTTGAATAATTTGTTGGCCAAACTGATATTTACATGCTTTAATACACTTTGATTATAGAGTTTGCAGTTACATATACATATAACCATTAATGGGTGCTATAGCCTATTCTGTTTAACAGTCGTCGGTAGTTGAAATTATTGCTTGCGAAATTTCAATTTTTTATAAAAGCATTTTGTTCAAAGCGATTTTGAACAATGTCATGTTTTGTAAACATTAAAGCTTAAATTATTTTTATTTATTTATTTTATTTTATCGACAAATGAAATATATACATCCGTCTTAACATTGACATGACATTTTGCTTTAGTTGCCTTACTTTCGTCTCTAAGTTTCTTATATGGAACAAAGACCTACTGCCACTGAATTGTGTTATCAAAATAATTACGACTAAGTATTTATAGCTACAATAAAGTCTGATATTAGCGATTATTTGCAATTATATATAATATCGAATGAATCAGTTAACCAATCAAATACCTTTTTAGACCGACCTAACTGATAAGAAGTGTAACGCTGAATAGCAATATTAATAACAGCTACAAATTTAATTACTAACCGACTTTAAATAATGAGTACAAGTAGTTTATCAATTCATCTGTACTTTTTTTTAAGTTTGTTACCTCAGCACATTTGACTGGGTGAGCCGATTTTTATGATTGTTTAGCTATTTGAAGCTGGTCCCATTTTAAAATTGTCTAGTACTGACAATGGCATCCATGGGAAAGACATAGAAGTCTTAAATTTGATATGGAATAATTACTTAATATCACGCCAACCGATTTCGATGATTGATTATTGGAAAGGATGTAGTTCAAGAGTATTTTTATGAGAGTTTAGTTAGGTTCTGCAAAGAAGAAAGCTCTCAATTCTACTGTATTTTTGATTGTTACCATAAATGATTCTTTTTTCTTTTAAAAACTGGTGCTTCCCGAATGGTCCCATTTAATTTCGTCGAGTTCTGAGAAAACTACCATAAACATGCCTCAAATAGCTGAAAATTCTATACCTGAAACATTAAGTCACTTTAAATGACAAATTACCGAAGACCTGAAGTCGGTTCTTTTTTGTTTGTTAAAATTCTACTAGTTTCAATTAAATGTAAAGTAACAAAAGACAGTGAAAACTTGTCAATTACGAGATAGTTCTCGATTGGGAGTGCATGTACAGGATGTAGATGAAGTAGTGAAGAGAAGCGTGGAGGACGATTTCCACTTTTCACAATACTTGGTGACTTGCATTGAAGTGGAGCTCGGCAGGTGACAGGAAGCTGCAAATTGATTTGGCGCCAACATATTTGTTTAGCAACTCCGGCTGCCGCACTACTTCCAATTGATGTGAAATAAATTACAGCTTGTCGTGATTTCATGCCTAATTTCCTAAAATAATTTGCCATAATTACAGGGCACAGTGCCCAGCGAGCTAATAAACTAAAATTTGTGTCGAGCGTTGTAAGCTTTGCTTATGAGTAATAGAACGAGTACACAAAACGAAGAGTTGTTGTTATTTTTTGTTTCGTACTATTTCTGATGGCAGAGGAAGCAATTAGATGTATTCGAAATAATGAAAAAAAACATACACACAACTCTGCTAACACCACTTGGACAGAAAAACTTGTTATGATCACGTACAAGCCTCGGCGACTTCCAATTCCAAATGCAGAAAGTGCGAAAAATAAAAGAGAAACACACACGAAATTTTCTGCAAGCCATAGAAGGAAATTTCACGCGACTTTTACGAGACTATACTATAGTTTATTGATATACCCTACACTATGGTACAAGTGAAGGGGCATAATGCGATTATGTGACAGGCAGAAAGTAGCAGCGCAGAGCCTATGTTGTAGATGTTCTGAATGCTCAGCGTGATAAGAAATTCAAAAAAATTACCGTCTAAGCTGATCCCATTATAACATGCAAGTATGTTTGATATATTTTCCGAAAATTTCGATGAAAAGTAACTTTTGAGTGAAACAGTCGCAATTTCCTTCTCAAGCAGCATTTGCTTTCGTTTCACTTTTCAAGCATCTAATATTTTGAAAAACATAGTTTAAACATAGTGTATGAACAGAAAGGGTGTTTGCAGCCATTAAGATATACCCTTAAATATCTAAAAGGTTTCGAAAAATCACTTCAAATCGGAAAATCACTTTAAAGGCGTGCTCAGACATAAATAAATGATAATTGAATTAAAATCAATAAGAGTTGTATAATAAAATAAAACTTTCTACAAACGCCTATATCGGGATTAGCCCTTCAAAACTTACTTGGAAAATAACTCAAGATCGTATGCAAATTATTTGCACGCTTCACCTAGCCTAGACAGAAAAATATTTGGCACTCAGGGAAACCAGAATTTTGAATTCAAATGGAAATCGACAATGGGATTTCTTTTTGTGTTATTTCAAAATCAATTGAAGAAAGTGTAATAATAATAATTTGTCTATATTGCAAGCCTTGAAGGAAAAGGCATGAACAGTAAAGGGTATATGATTTAGAGGCAGCCGAAGAAATCTTTTTAGATCTGTTTTATTTGATTTGCGGCATTTAGGTGTGAGTCTGATGTCATGTCATTCTAAACAAAAGTAACCGCCGTTGTCGTCGCTATGTATGTACTACATACATATCTACATATGTACATATCTACATACATATCTACGTGTACATACATATGTAGGTCGCCCAGCCATTTGAGCGCTCCGAAACGA